AAGTTTCTAAACTAGCCCAACAAAACTATCATACGTTTTTTTCTTCATTAATATAGATTTACGAGTTTTAAATTTAAAACCATTGATTTTTTTGTAAACTCGTAACATTGCTACATAATGGATTCGATCTTAAAATGAACATAATAATAAGATATTTTATATATGAATAATATTATAAAAAAGTAGAAGTACAGTATATAATAATTTTAAATGTTTCATATAAGTTGAAGTCGTCGTGGCCTAAAGGATAAGACGTCCGGTGCATTTGTGTTGAGACATGCACCGGTGTTCGAATCTCAGGCGGGTACCAATTTTTCTAATGAAATATAATACGTACCTACTCAACAAATGTTTACGATTGACTTCTACGGTGAAGGAACAACATCTTGTAATAAAAATCAAACCCGCAAAATTATAATTTGCCTAATTACTGGTGGTAGGACCTCTTGTAGTCCGTACCACCACCCTGCCTATTTCTGCCGTGAAGCAGTAATGCGTTTCGGTTTGAAGGGCGGGGCGGCCATTGTAACTATACTGAGACCTTAGAACTTATATCTCAAGGTGAGTAGCGCATTTACGTGGTAGATGTCTATGGACTCCAATAACCACTTAACGCCACGCTGAGCTTGTCCACCCATCTAAGCAATAAAAAAAGAAAGGTACTAGTTTTATTAATTTACATAGTCAATGTAGCGCGAATCTCAGATATTTAATAGCCACAGTTTTTAACTACAATTTTACGTACTGATTAATTACTTTTGTTTGGTAATTTATCTAATAATCTTCTGTAATCATAGTAACTACCTATTTGATGCTTCGGAAGTCATATATAATAAAACCAGCAAAAGTCTAATCGTTTATCATATTTTCAATTAATTAAAAAAAGTGCGTGACATATACTTATACATACATCACATATGTTTCAAAACCAATTTAATCTAATTAATACATTCCAGCTAAGTAATAAGTCGTCGTTTCGAAGTTTTTGCTCTCCCATGTAATAAAAAGTAATAAAATGAAATCGCATCATGTGATGAGAACGTTAACAAAATTATGACCCTTGTACGAACGATAATAAAAGCACCCCAATAACCAACCAGAAAGATGTGCTTTTTCCGTCGTTCGCTTGCTTTCTTCATAATACGTTTTGGTATTATTTATGAATATAGTGCAATAAAAATCAATTAGGGTTAGTAAATTAGTTGTTTAGTTTGAATTAATGAACTACGATTATTTCAAGTTCGATTTGTCCCTGAAATGTCGTATTCCATAAAAAAAAAATTTTACGCTTCAGGGTAAATAATTAATGTAATCTATACTAATTTAAAAATCTATAGTGGTTTTTACGGATGTTCCGTTATAACTACTGAATCATGCATCCGATTGACTTGAAACTTTTTATCCATATACAAAATACATTTACTTAATGGATAGGCTAATATTTATATGAGTGTTGGACTCCTACACCAGTTGCGGGGGCGTTAATGATGAGAATCTTTGTGGAGGTGAGAAATAATAATGTTAATTTTAAATACCCAGTAAAGCGGACGGGTACAGCTAGTATAATATAATAAGTATTACCTTCACCTTGCGCTCGTGGTTCAAATGAAAACACGGGGATATTTTTATTTCCATATGTACTCAAAAATGTATAATGATGTATTATCATTCACAATAGTTGTAACTGACAAATAAAATCGCTTTATAAACACTCGACGCGGTGAGAACGTTATTGCATTGACATTATTTGTATAAAATTTTGAAATCCGAATCAGGCTCAGGCATAACTTTTAATGGGTGCATCCAATAGACTAATAACATAAAAGTTTGTGCGAATGGATAGATTTTTGTTACTCTTTCATGCAGAAACTACTCAATCAATGATACTGACAGTGAACCGACATCGTGCTTCACTAATACGTTAATTCAAAAGAGATAGTATTAAAAAATAACTAAATAATAGTATAAAAAAACTAACAAAATACGCGTCTATAGAAAATCCAACAAAAAAATAGAAGCGTTAGTTTTTTAATCTAAAATTTTTTTTTTTTAGTCGAAATTCAATTTTCTCAACAAAAAAATTCAAAATTTTTATTTTTAAATATTGAATTGTCATCGGTCTTTAATAAGTATACCAAATTCAAAAGTCAAATTTCAAAAGGGTCAAAATGTATACCCGAATAATTATTTTCTGTATACCTCGAATAGAACTTAAAATTAATATTTTTGTAATAAGGAGATTCGTTCCTATCCGGTGTCCCACGACACCACATTTCTTTTTTATTTTTAAGATCCTTAAACACTCATACAGATATTTTTATGGTTTTTTTGTATCTCTTTTTATGTGTATCTCCAAAGCGACGATCAGATATCGAAGCTGATTGTTTAAAAAAAAAGTAAAAAGTAAATTCAAATTTAATTCTAATTAACAATCGTTTCTCGAACATTCCATCAAATTAAGTCAAAATCTTAAAATATAGATGAATATTCAGTTTGCTTTGATTTAACAAAAGTCACCCTAGTTGATCTCCGTCTTTGTGGACCCTAATTTATGAAGATAAAACTTAATTAATTTTATTTTCATGGTGTTCCGCGCAGATTATCTTCAGTATGTATTCATAGCATATTTAGACGATATTACGAAAGATTATGCTTAAAAAGTTTTTTTAAAGATTTCCCAAATCATACCTAATGACAATAATACGAGTATGCATCAATATGATAACTAGATTTGCGGTCGTCGAGTAAATTAACCCTCAGACACAGCCCACTGAGTTTCTCGCCGGATCTTCTCAGTGGGTCGCGTTTCCGATCCGGTGGTAGATTCCGCGAAGCACGGCTCTTGCCAGGGTTCGTGTTAGCAACGTCGTCAGGTATGAGCCCTGTGAGCTCACCTACTAGTTAATGCGACGCTGATATAGCATCTCAAGGCTCTCAGCTTAGGTAGGAACAAAAAAAAAAGCTGTTAACGTTAATAATATCCAATGAGCCTCGAAGAATAATACTCTAGCTAGTGAAACACTATAACACTATAATTCATATGAGACAGTAATGAGACGAGTTAACGGCATGACAATGAGGCGCGGCCCTCACTTGGCTTAGTCAGCGTAATTTAAAGACGTCGCTGACGTGTTGTGCATTCAAGAGATGTACTAATGAAGAGCTCGAAAGTCAAAAAGTGAACACCACAGTGAAACTAAAGTTTTTAATGGGACCGGCTCATTAGCGATCAAGATATTAAAATGACCTCAATATTAACCTAAATAACAAAGTTCCATTAGAATTCAACGCATTATATTTTATTGTGGTTTTTATTTACAAAATACCGTCTGAGGATGTGTATTGTTCCGTAGTCAGCTCTTCTGTATAGTTGGATTACATCCCGTTTTACCGTGTGGATAAGGATATTGTATTCAGAATAAAGGACGAAGGAAATGTAAAATGCTTACTTATTGAAACGTGCTTTAAAAATGAAACGTGATTCGAATAATAAATTAGTTTTGACAATTTAAGAACTCTACGATTCAATTGTAGAGTTCGTGTAAAAGTTTTTATTTAGAAACATTTATTAAATGAAATGAAAACCTCGTCGCATGTACACAATCGTCGTAAAATTTAAATTTTATGACTATATATTTATTTATTTCAGTCTTCTTACAAATTAACAGTAGAACCAAAATATTTTTTACTGGTGGTGGGACCTCTTAAGTCCGCACGGGTAGGTACCGCCACCCCGCCTATTTCTGCCGTGAAGCACTAATGGGTTTCGGTTTGAATGGTGTGGCAGCCGTTGTAACTATACTGAGACCTTAAAACTCATATCTCAAAGTGGGTGGCGGCATTTACGCTGTAAATGTCTATGGGCTTCGGTTACCACTTAATACCAGGTGGGCTGTGAGCTCGTCCACCCATCTAAGCAATAAAAAAAAAATTTGTAAGGTAATATTAACTTAAGTAACTTCTAGCAACTGATAGACTATTAATGACAATTGGTGCATCGCTACAGCATTATTATTAACTAATTAGCGTGTTATTACACCGTATTTTGTTTATTTTATTCGTGTCTTAAGCAGAACTTTTTAAACAGGAACAAATGATACGATTACTGGTTGTAGGACCTCTTGTGAGTCCGCACGGATAAGTACCACCGCCCTGCCTATTTCTGCCGTGAAGCAGTAATGCGTTTCGGTTTGAAGGGTAGGGCAACCGTTGTAACTATACTGAGATCTTAGAACTTATATCTCAAGGTGGGTGACGCATTTACGTTGTAAATGTCTATGGGCTCCAGTAACCACTTAACACCAGGTGGGCTGTGAGCTCGTCCACCCAACTAAGCAATAAAAAAAAATAAAAAAAAATACGGCTGTAAGTTTTGCCTATTTCTTTAAGTGCTAGATCACGTTTAAGTTATTGAAATATTTTTTAAGTTTTTGAGTGGTTTGGTATTAACATTTTATTTGAATTCAAATTGAATAAAACGTTAACATTATAGGAATTCACCTAAATTTTCGAGAACTTTCTAAACCAATTGCTATTCGTTCACACACTGACTTACAAACTGAAATCTGCGAACTAAAAACTGACATATTTACTGTAGTTACCACTACGTTTTTTAATGTAAAAATGAATTTCTATTCTGTTGCCTGATACAGTTCATTCTAAGCAATAAGACAGCTATTTGTTCCCTTATTTTAAAGTTTTCTTTTTTTTACTCTGTGCCACTTCCATGAATTTTAAACTATCAACTGATCACACTGATAATTCATAAGACAAACTCAATAGGGCTGCGTGTAACGAGAAGCAACATATTATTATGTTTCGAATAACAAAACTCGTAAGGTTTGTTTAAACTGGTCAATTTTTTCTTTTCTTTTCTTATAGAGCTGCCTGTCTCATCTTAGTCGATGAGGTCTCGTTTTGTAGAGCAGACTCAAAATGTTATCAGAGCTGGCAGGTAAATCAATATGAACTATGCGTAATAATAAGATTTGTGATTTTAGGCGAACTTCGAACTATCGGCCCTGCTTACCGAATTCACAAAAAATGGGGTCCCACCTATCAGGGGATTTGCACTCGCCAACATATGCAAAGAAGCCTTCGATTACCTCGTGTGGGCTGAAGAGCCGCCGAATCTGGAACAAGTATACGATTGCAAAAGTGAGTATTAGTTTGACATAAAAATCGCATTAAAATTATTGAAGGGTGGAGCAGACGTTGTAACTATACTTGGGACCTTAGAACTTATATATCAAGGTGGATGGCGCATTTACGTTGTAGATGTCTATGGGCCCTAGTAACCATTTAACACCAGGTGGGTTGTGAGCTCGTTCATCCATTAAAGAAAAAAAATAATAATAATAATAATAATGAGCCGTAAGTTGAGGACTCCTCGGCGAGGCCGAACCGTTCCACTTGAAACTTCTAGCAATAATTCTAAATTTTTGTATCAAAAATATCAAGTCACAATTTCCGAAGTTTCGTATTTGTAATTATTGTAATTACTAAGACTATCCTAATTTTCTGATGAATACGACCTATTTTTGTGTGGTAAGTTAAATAATTATTTTCAAAGTAATACTCTAAAATCATTCAGACATTTTTTTAAGTTTTATTTAGATTTTAGTCAGTATCTGAAATGAAACGAAACTGGGATGTATTTTAAGTATTTCACTTTTGATAATGCCGAGGAAATTAATTATATGGGTCCAATATAATTTTTACATCAAATGTCAAAATTTTGCTTGGATTAGGTTATGATAAATAATTTAGAAAGACTGTACCTAATAACTGTAATTCCTGAAAAGAGTAATAAATTGCTTAATGCAATACAAGCAATTATAAACTTAATATGCAATAGTGATGGTCTTTAGTGCCAATGTTTGAACTAACCCAGAATGCGTCTAGTTGTATAATAAAATAACAATGAATGTGCTAATTTTGGTGAGCTAAAAAATATTCGATAATGCGCTCAACTTTAAATTCATTCACATTAATTAAATTTTTTTCAACAAACAGAAGATGTTTTTTTTTATCAATTAGGATACTGTTTTAATATTGATTCAAAGCTTTATAGGTCTGTCAAATAATGGTGCTAAAGTAAATCACAATATGTCTTGGGTTTTAACTATGTGATGCTGAATTTTAATGCGATGTGGTCAGTAAACAAATTCAAAGAAAATATTACTAAAATCGAAAAACTTTATACTGACTACCCTGCCTATTTCTGCCGTGAAGCAGTAATGCGTTTCGGTCTAAAGGGTGGGGCAGCCGTTGTAACTAATACTGAGATTTTAGAACTTATATCTCAAGGTGGGTAGCGCATTTACGTTGTAGATGTCTATGGACTCCAGTAACCTCTTAACACCAGGTGGGCTGTGAGCTCGTCCACCCATCTAAGCAATAAAAAAAATAAAAAAAACTTTATGCGCCAATCTATCAACATCTTTATTCTAAGCGTTTAGGGGCATTTTCATATTAAAGTATGTAGCACTGGGAGCACGTAGATGTGTGGCGTGTAGTTATTCAGAATTTCTTTGGTAAGTGCCTTCTGAATATATTATAGGTAAGGCCAATCGTTTCTAACTGAAAACGCGCATTAGCCTTTTCGTGTATGCCCGTCCTTTCAGGGTTCGTATTCTGCAGCTGTAACTGTACGAACTCTGGAGCCTAAGCGGTTCCTTAATAACAGAGCCAAATACATATTTAGATTTTTTTATTAAATGTACCGTTTAGAAGAATAGAACCACTCGAGTTTTATTGAATCATTTTCCACACAACATTGAATATATTGTAAGACGTTCGCCAACGTACCAGTGTCCTGTGTTTGCGGAATTCTATTCAGGATAGCCATTAAAAAATGCCGCAAAAATTGTAGTGTCAAGGCAACATACTTGTAAAACGTAAATTGATTGATTTAAAACAAAACATTTTCTTTTTTATATTGCTTAGATGGGTGGACGAGCTCACAGCCCACCTGGTGTTAAGTAGTCACTGGAGCCCATAGATATCTACAACGTAAATGCACCACCCACCTTGAGATATAAGTTCTAAGGTCTCAGTATAGTTACCACGGCTACCCCACCCTTCGAACCGAAACGCATTGCTGCTTCACGACAGAAATAGGCGGGGTGATGGTACATACCCGTGCGAACTCACAAGAGGTCCTACCACCAGTAAAAAAATAATCTATACAACACAGTCTGGGATTTCTTTGAAACTTTCGCTTCCATTGAAAGTTCTATAATAGAATTTGTTCATTTTTACTCAAGCAATAGCGAGAGCCAATGTAGAAATCAACACTTTAAATGCTTACCTAATTACGTTAACACAAAAATACGTAATACATCACGTGAATGTGGTAAGGAGTTTGTTTTTATTACCACAGACGGGCGGCCAAGCTCATAACCGACTTGATGTAAAATTATAAGCGGGGCTCGTAGATAATAGAGCGTGAAAGCTGTCTTTTTTTAGACATGACGTCAAGTTCGAGTTGCATTAGAACAACGTGCCGCCCTTTAGACCGCGAAGGGTTCCTCGCTGCAGAAGTATATCGGAAAATACCGACTTATGCCGGCTCACAACTTACCCTTAACGCAATAGTATCACTGTTAGAGTTCGATTCTCAATCGAAATCAGTCTTCGTGAAAGTTATATTTTATCGGTTCTAGATATATCGTTTTGGCCTTGTATATGTTCTATTCGTAACACTTAAACAGTTCTAAGTTAAATCTCCTTGTTGTAGAGTTCAAATGTATGTTGTGACGGACGATGCAATACTCATATCTTCTAAATAAAGAATCGTCTGATCATAAAATCAATGAGATCAATGATCAAGAGCGTTTTGTCAGAAGCCACTTATCTTATAATAAAGCCTTTTCGTCTTTCTGTGCAGGCCCAAAATCAAGATTACATTTTCATTCATTCTAAACGAAAACGCTCAATCCAGAGATATATTTTTCATTTTGAAACACGCTTTTATGAACGACTAAAATTTATCGAGAGCACTTTTAATGGGAAATTTCGGTGACTATTTGTAGAAGGGCAATACTTCGTCGCAAAAACGGCTAAGACAGGGTCACCGACTTCGACAGCAAAAATACCGACGAATTAATTCGTTCGTGTAACTAAAGCGAATGCTTTAATCCACAAACGGATTTTCTTTAACTTACCTCTTTGAATAATGCTCAGCCGTGGGCGTTAATGTACAGCCTTGTTTAATTTTATATAGTACCTGTAGCAGATAGCGGCTCCGTAGCCGTTGTGTACCTACTAGACCTTTCTATTCATGCCTCATAATAAAACTTCAAAGCGTATTACATTCTCTTTACAAAAACAGCATATTTTTTTTGGATTTTACCAAGTATAATACAGTAGTAAAGATGTTTACGAAAAATATTTCATGTTAGAGCTTAGATTTTTGACGACAAGTCATTGATTTCTAAACTTTTTCTGTATGTTTGTTTGAATATCGGGGAGAAAATTTGCGATTGGTTGCGTGTTAGCTATTTTCACTAAAAACTGAAATACATATCTCGCTACAACATGACTGATATGAAGCCGAGGTTTTAAGTATAAGATAAGTATTTCTCACAACTAAGTACAAGCAATTTAAACAGAGCACTCTGTGTACTTATATACTGAAAACGTTAGTGAAAAACCCGTCTTTCTTACGTTTTACGTACTAATAATATTTCATGCATTTTCTTGCGGAGAGTAAATTGTGCATCAAGTGTAGATTTTTTTATTTTATTTACGTTTTAATATTTCCGATCCTGGACGTAATCTATATATTAATACGTGAAGCAAAAACTTTTTACCCCTTTTTACGAAAATTGCGCGGATGGAGGAGTATGAAATTTCCCACACTCATAGAGAATGTAAGGAAGGAGTGCAGAATGCTAATATATTTTTTGAATTATGCGTAAAAAATACATTAAACTAATGAAAAAAAACATTACACACACTACCATATATTTGACACACACACGCATGCATACTATTTGTTTATTGTCAAAATTTTCTTATTGCTTATAGTCTGTGGTCAAATTGAGCACAGGTTAAAAATTGTTTGTATTTATTAATATTTGTCTAAAGTGTAGTCTTGGCGGAATCTGTGATTATAGAAGTATTAGTCTTTGACAATAGAATCATAATAGTGTACAAACTTATAATTTCAATTAATTATAGTCGAATTTCGACTACCGGGGGACCACTAGTCACAATTAAAATGTAATAAAGTGACATACACATTTGACTTCCGCCGTGAAACAGTAATGCGTTCCAGGGGGAAGATTAGAACAGCCATTATACTATACAACTGTGATTTAGACCTCATGTCTCAAGGAGGGTGGCGGTATTCACTTTGTGATGCCTATGGGCTCCGGTCACTACTCAACCTCAGTTGAGAAGTGAGTTTGTTCACCCGTCTAGGCAATTAAAAACAAAATTTCACCCCGGATCAACGGTTTTTTTTATTGCCCGTGTTAGCAGACGAGCATACGGCCCACCTGATGGTAAGTGGTCACCGTCACTCATGGACGTCAGCAATGCCAGGGGGAGAGCCATGCCGCTGCCTACCATTATGATTTGAAGCCGTATGATTATGATGCCGATTCCGATGAAACAGGTCCTGTGTAGTTCAGTCCTTAATTAAACCCCCAAGTAGATTAAAATCACGGACAGATTAGGATCACAGTTTTCATACTTTATCTACTTGTCTACTAAGTAATACTGATATTCGGAAATCAAATCTCGTATTTAAGTGAGAGAATAAAGAGCACCTAAGAGACGAGCAATTAATAAACAAAACGATCGTTCTGCCAATCAACTTCAAAGAGCAGAATCTTTCATGAAAGCCCTTTTATATTCTAATCGATTATTCTATTTGATGAACCAAGAGGTATGATTAAATAAAAAGCCATCAATCAGTCCGCAAAATAAATTTTAAGAAAATACAATTAAACTTATACAATCTATAATAATATGTAGGTTTGACGTGAACTATTCATACAAACACTGCTAATATTTGGCCATAAACTAATATTAGCGCTGTAATGACGATATTGTAGAATCATTAATTTTTTTGTCTTCATCACTACATAGTATAGAACAAAGTCGCTTTCTCTCTCCCTATATCTGTCTGTCCTTATGTATGCTTAAATCTTTAAAACTACGCAACAGATTTTGATGCGGTTTTTTAATAGATAGAGTGATTGAAGAGGAAGGTTTATATGTATAATAACATCCATTGAATAGTGGAGAAATCAATAATAAATTACAGTTTCCGAAGCAAAGCGAGGACGGGTCGCTAGTATTTTATATTTCTTCGAATTATTCGAGTTATTGAGTCGTATGAGGTAATTTGCTATAATCTATCGGCATTCAACAATTTTTAGAGTTCGTGTTAATAAAGGAACACGAATTTCTGCGTATCGAGAATGTATGGATTCGGGTAGAACGAAAGTAAGAAACCTTTTAAAGCATAATGGCTGATTTAACGTTCATTGAAATGAGCAATATTTGTGAGTTTGCATCGATCAAGTTGATTAGGTACACGCCAGGTGTTTCGCACGCGAGGCTTTTCGCGTTCTAAACCATCACTAACTATACTTTGAAACGACTTTCTTCGTTTCATTTACACGGAACTTGTAATAATTAACTAAAAACGCGCTATTAACGTGACATAATGGGAATGATAATACAAGATTAAACGATTTCGTGTTCATGAGCCGTGACTTATCACTATTACACGCGTTAATTGTAAACTAGTGATCCTCGAAATTCGACTATAATTAATTGAAATTAAAAGCTTAAACACTCTTATGCTTCTATTGTCAGGCACTATTATATTTCTATAATAATACAGATTTCGCCAAAACTACACTGTAAATAAATAATATTAAAGACAAACAATATTAATCTTATCTCAATTTGACCACAGACTTTAAGCAATAACAAAAGTTTCACAATTGACACAGTATATTTATATGTATTTGTTGTGTCAAATACATGGTAGTGTGTGTAATGTTTTCTTTATTGATTTGATGTATTTTCAAAGCATAATTTTTAAAAAAATATTAGCATCATACACTACTTCTCTATGTTCTCTATAAATGTGGGAAATTTCATACTCCTCCGTCCGCGCAAATTTCGTAAAAAGGGGTACAAAGTTTTTGCTTCACGTATTAATAATATATAGATTTTAAACTCGACGACTTATCGCAGCAAAGTACTCGAATAGCTTGTTGATGATAAGTTGACAAAAGTGTTATTCTGAAACGCGTGCAGCCTTATATTTTAAAATGGTTAGTAAGGGCCGCGCCTTAACCGTATTCCACACGATCTGTCCCCCGGGCCGCCCACTCGACGCTTCGTACATTAATCATCAAATTTGCGACACAACATTTACAAATATTGTACAATTTATTTGCCTGGTCTTCTCTGTTTAGAGTGTTTAACAATGTTCCTCGAAACATCTATCGTTTTGAGTGAAAAATCGAAGCATTTCAACACCGAAATCATTCATGAATATTCATTTCGTCTCGTTTATACGAGAATATTTAGGCGCTTGTTGTTCTTGTAACATTATCATGAAACCAAATGTTCAAATACATTTATGATCGTTTCACACGAATGTACTGTGATCAAGTTAAGTGCAAGTCGAAATGGAATCTAATTGAAATGGAATTAACGCCACGTTGTTTTGTTTTTTCGTGTTTCAAATTCATCGGTACAAACACGACGTAACACTTTAAAAATATTTCATACTAATATTGTAACCAATATTATTTACTAGAAGTTTTGTGAGATTCATTCGGAGCCCTGCGTTTAAATGTTTCTTTATGAATTCGCCCCGAGCTCTTTACGTAATTTCGTTTCTCATCCCATCGCCCTAGGTGATCATAATTTCTATTTAAATTAATTTGCTAACGGTCAATTATCAACAGTGTATTATCGTTATGTTTAATTTTATTAATGTAATTAAATGCTGACTTAGGATAGAAGTGATAATCAACAGCATATTGTCACAAAATTAAAAATGAATAATACTGCCCTATTTAAAATATACTGCTGGCCACTATTCCTTCCTCAACTTCCGTTTGTAACGCGAATCTTATTATTTTTATTCATCCAAAATTCTGCCTGCGTTTTCCTGCGTTTGTGTCGAACTCATATTTTTAGTGTATACACCATCGAGATTATATTAAATGGATTGATTATACTACTATTTGTTGTTTTAGCGCTGCAGCGCTTTTTAGTTATAATTAAAATATAAACCGAACCATATATTGGTTTCGAGTGGCTCCTCTAGTACGTAGTACATTATATCTCGATGGTATACACCTAAGAATCGTGGGGCTCTAAATAAACAATTAAGATGATAATTTCTTAAGTTGAACCCAGACTTAAAATATCAAGCTTAGTGGTGACATTCACGATTTAGTACAATTCGGTAGCCGGTTAGCATGAGATGAGCCGTTACTAATAGGCTTTTTAATCTAGTTAATTTTTCATATTATATCAATTAAAAAAATTATTATTCAATTTTACTTTATATTCACGGATTGTAAGCTAATATTTGCAAAATAACAGAGTATACTCATATTCACTGGTGGTAGGACCTCTAGTGAGTCTGTACGGGTAGGTACCACCACCCTGCCTATTTCTGCCGTGAAGCAGTAATGCATTTCGGTTTGAAGGGTGGAGTAGCCGTTGTAACTATACTGAGACCTTAGAATTATATCTAAAGGTGGGTGGCGCATTTACGTTGTAGATGTCTATGGGCTCCAGTAACCACTTAACATCAGGTGGGCTGTGAGCTCGTCCACCCATCTAAGCAATAAAAAAAAATTAAAATAAAATTGGTCTCCATTTTTTTTTGTATAAAATTGTACAAATAATAACAAAAAAGTACTAACGGAATTTCTTTGCTTTCATTAATATCAAAATACTTTTGGTAACAATTAATTGATTTCGTGTTATTGGTATAAACCTTAATAAACGAAACATACACATTATATAAAATAGTGACCATCTATTACTGACCGTTATATCGTACGGTTCGCTTAACGACCGTGCAATTAATAATAGAAAGCTAATAAAATTAACAGACCTTTAACGAATGTCTGACCGCTGTAAAAATATGCTTCATACATAAAATGACGATAATACCGTACCGTTTATTGCATTTGTGGCTGGTTTTTTTTTCTATATTTACATTCATTATCTATATATATTAAAACGTCAATCAAAAACTTTGTACCCCTTTTTACGAAAATATCGCGGGCAGAGGAATATGTAATTTTGCATACATATAGAGAATATAGAGAAGGAGTGCAGAATGTTAATATTTTTTTAAATTATGCCTAAAAAAGACATTGATACAATAAAAAAAATATTACACACACTACCATGTATTTGACGCACACACGCTCATCTTGGCCAATAGAATCATAATAGTGTACAAACTTATAATTTCAATTAATTATAGTCGAATTTCGATTACCGGGGGACCACTAATTATATTAAAATCTAATAAAATTCCATTAGTTAATGCCGCCAAAACATCATTCGCTTCCTCTCCCAAGAAAATGTTTGTTATATATTTGAATATGAACATCAAGTCATCATAATCTATTTCGCCTTATTGATCCAAATGATAAGATGCTAGTTGCTCTGACTAATGTACCATGTCTGAATTTTCAGTTGGAGTCAGTATGTTTATACTAGGCTATTTTGTTTCAATTTCTGGTGTACTCCTACTTGACTAGTATCTGTGTATTCAATATCGATAATCCACGATATCGAATATATAACTGTAATATACGTATTGGTATGTATTATACGCCAGTAGGACACTATACGGTCTATATCTGCCGTGAGCTGCTTGATTGTGGTAGACAGAAGCCAAGTTATAAAAGTGGCATTCATTTGTGGTCTACATTAGCCCGATTACTGCTTATACCAGGAAGGGTTTGAGAAACTCTTTGGGGTGAACACATCCAAGCCACAATGTGATTCCAGAAATTAGTTGCTTGCTGTTTTGCCTTCATTTATCACAACAATATTTTAATACTAACTAATGGAACTATTTCGAACTCACTCCGCTTATTGTGTTTTTTGTTATGAATGTATTCGTTCCTTTTGAAGTACAGGACACACGATATTAAGGTGCAATTAACGCATATCTTTTTATCTAAGGGTGAAGTCATCATTTAGGCAAGTAGACTAAGTCACCTATGCGAGTAAAATATTCTTCAATCAGATGGCCAAAATAATTACTTGCCTAATTTTCGTGGATGATGAAGTTGTTACGGCTAACAATTATTAATAATATAACGGTGTTACTTGTGGATACAGAGCTACCTTCTAATGAGGAAGCAAGGCAGGCTGTGGTCAGGGAACTTGTGAACACAGAAAGTATTTACATCCGTCACCTCACCGCCATCGTAGAGGTAAGTGCTAAAATTAAATGATCACTTTAAAACGCATTAACAATTAATTCTACAGCAATGTCTTTATGTATGCATACAGCTCATGGTTTCGAGGCATTAAGGGTCTTGAACAATGGGTCGCGTCAGAGTCAACAGAAATCATATAATAGTCCCACAAGTGAATTGTAATTATGACTGGTCAAAAACTGACCGTGTTATATGGTAGCCGTGAGTAATATAAACGCTGTCAATGACGGAGAATTTTAGAGTATTTTAACCTATATTGAGCAATGAAACCCATTCAGAGCATTTTTTCCAAATTAAAATACCCGAGAGTATATGCATATGTGTGACACAAAGGGCTACGTGAAACTGCACTGTCCACTTTCGAATTTGTTTTATATGCCTTCGTATCGTCAGTAACCTTTGACTACAAAGTAGACAATGACTTTGCTATGCAAATTGAATAGGCCACCTCATACTATTGGCTCATATGCCCAGATATTGAACGTTTGTAGTGGAAATCAAATTGCCGGCTACCGATATACCATTCGCCTTTAAACAGCATATTTATTTGAAAATTCCTTATCTGATTTTCTTTTTATGTACAAATGTATGTAAATTTTGGGATCGCAGGTTGTAGTTAAATTATTCAAACAACAAAAAAAAATCGATAAGTTCAATCTCTCACTCATTATAAGTCATAAGTTTATCATTAAGTCTCACTTAAGTCGCATTAAAGATTTTAAGAATTAACGTGCAATAAAAAAGAAGAGACGAAAAAACAATTTTCAATCTCGATTTTGGATTTTGCTGATTATGATCGTCGATCCCCAAATCGGGATCCGGCAGGATTAGTTCGCTTTGGTAATGGACTGCGTGCCTTTTTTGGGAATTATAAGATATCCGGGTGGATTTGAAACGTACGCTCGGCAGAGCCGACCAAGGAGACTCTGAGACTCGAACTTAAGATTATTCGTGATAAAAGTTTCTCAGCTTTACAAAGCTCTCCTTTCTCTAATAGAAATTCTAATTAAATAATTATATAACATATTTTTCTTACTGGTAGTGAGTCTTAGAAGAATTGACCTTTGAAAGCTCGTTCATAGGCAATAGGATCTCAACGTTGATTTTCATTCGTGTTCTAATCATTCCGAATGGACTACGGAAATAACTAAGGATCGCAATTCGCTTACGATTCGCGTATTGCTGAGCAATGGAGCTAGTTGTCTTCCTGTCATCAGAATTCTCCAGAGAGACACTCGACTTTGATTTCCTATCGATCAATCGTAACAACTTCTGTAGTTAGAACAATTACTCGGGAATTAACAGACTGTTCTGCATTTTCCCCTGCATTTGGGATCCAAGTCTCATTTTGATGCAACAGCACGCACGCAACGCACATACAAAATTTTACAGGGATCTTCCACAAAATCTAACATAGATTTTCTAACTTAAATACATATTAACTACGATTTGTATTTTAGGTATTCATAGCCGCTGCACACGCTCTGCAAGACATGGGTAAACTGCTAGAAGTGGATACTGAGAGGCTTTTCACTAACATCCCTGACGTCCTCAATGCCAGCCTTCACTTCTGGGAGCTTACCTTCTATCCAATGATCATCGATGCAGTCCAGAACAAAGTACCGTTAGTATTTATAGAGTATTTTTGCCATTTGAAAACATTATTTAAACAGATGTAAAGTTTTTTTTTTATATTTTTATAACGTTTGAGTGGTTTTGAAACTAATGTAAAAACCAATGATGATATTTCGTATAATCGAAAAAAAACCGCACACTGTTGATACTATCCTATGTACCTATTGCTGATTTGTGAATGGCCTACTGTCTAGACCTAAAATAAAAAAATAAAATAAAATCTGACGTTTATAATTGAAAATCTTCGAATTTTTAATGAAAGCTCAAATTCGTCAGGGGTGTTTTAAGCTTTCATTATCTCATAATTAACTTGCCATCATTATAATTATCTCGGCAGTCCGTCACAGATATTAGTTTATTTATTGGAAAAAAAAACATTCTTTTCACCTATCTATCACACGCCTCACGTCTCACACACCTAAGAAGGCATAATAGTAAAAGGTATTTTGTTTATTAAAAAGCTTTAATGCAAAATGCATTTTTTCTATAACTCTAGCCCTCCTTTAGAATTTCTTAAACTTTGTGGCCCACCATTAAAAATGTTCACCTACCACTGGTCTAGACTAAGTTATTGGTGGAAATTAAAAGTAGTCTTTTTTTTATAGCCCTAATAACCAGTCGAGCATATTGGCCATTTGATGTTGAGCCAGGATACAGCCGAGAAGCTGCCTATTTCAAATTCCACAATATTTTCGTTTACACATCTTTATTTCAGTTTTAACACCGAACTGATGTCGCCCGGCTTCTGCCGTTTCCGTGATTTATTCTACCCCTATGAAAAATACGTCAACACCCAATCGAAAGCATTGGATTATTTTCGCTCTCTATCCAGTAACCCTGATTTTATTGCATACATTTCCTGGTGTCACGCTCATAAATCATGCAACCGGTGAGTATTAGTTTAACGATTGTGATATGTATTTTTTTATTATTTGCCATATGCTATATATAGGAAATAGATACGGTTTCAGCGTTTTGTTTTTCGTATGCCGTTTTTGGTCATTTAGATGTTTTAATTTATTTTTTATTTTGAAAATACGTCGTAAGTAATACAACATAATAATAAGTAAACACAAATAATTTCTTTATAGTTGATTCCACGAGTATGGTTCCACATATGGATGATCATTACAATATCATATAATACGTGGATAGATTGTAAAAAATTGTCATTTTTTTTTTTCCTACCAACAGGCTGCAACTCTCGGATATAATGGTGAAACCAATGCAGAGACTCACTAAATACGCGCTAATCATTCGTCGTATAATAACACACACTGACACAGAACCGGAACGAACTTCACTCATCGCAATGGTTAGTTGCCTTTGGTTTAGCTAACTTTATCACTTGTAAGTAATTATATAGTAACATCACTTATTTTTTAACTAAACATTAATTTCTTAGCTACCACAGGACTCCTGCTCCACTTATTGGCAACGGGGTAACGTCGTAGACATTGACAATGCCGGTGGTATAATCAAATTACTGCCTATTGCGAAGAACTCCTTCCAGATCTTCTTTGAAGAAGAGCATGTCATGATATATCAGTGCTTAGTGAGTGCTGTGGCATTCTCCTCTTCGAGTTTAGTTCGAGAAGGGTCGTCAACGGTAGATAAAAATTTGGCCGATACAGTATTCCTGTCGTCAATGATGGACAGAACCATCTACCATCGGATAAGCGAATTGTATGATGCTCACTTGTAGTCGAAGGCAAAAAAATCGTAACCTACCATTCAGTTCCTAGCCTAGGTTAACCCAGGCTCCTTTCTTGGAGACACTAATGATCGTGATAATGATAGTGTGCTCGTTTTGAACAGGAATCATTTGCGAAGAACTACGTGATCGACATAAACCGTACTATTCGGCAGCGGGAGGAGATCGAGAAAATCGAGATGCTGTCAAACATCATTGAATCCTACGAAGTCGTGAGTGTTTTATTTCTATGAAACATTTACTGCATTTGTAGCGACTTAGGCGATACGTAAAACAACTTTAACAATATTTGTTTGTATTAATTTTCATGTGAATTGATATTAAGTTCCTTTTTTATTTTGTCGGTGACATGTTTTAGTTATTTATAAATCACGTTTTTAAAGGATTACAATTTACGTATTGATATTAGTTTTGTTTATGTAACCGACATCTGTAACTTTTAAGTTGTGTTTTAAATTATTTTTTCACTTGGACATCGTCTTAAGAAAGCTTTAAGTATTTTATATCGACTTCGATTCGCATTCACTCAGCTACGCGTTGCTTATTATTGTTTTATTTTATTGTCGAGTTTGTAATCATAAAGCATTAATCTCATAGTAACTGTAATTGAAAAAAAAAACGATTTTTGATTTACACAAACAATTACGTATTCGTTTCGAGGTTATTAGTGAATATTCATGCGACGAAGCCGATATGAAAAAATTTGTTGAGAATCTTTAATATACAATATAAATCAAATTGTCTTCCAAGTTAATCATTCAAGATATATTCCAATTTAATCGGCCTAATTATTGTTAAGTATAGTGTATTTGAAAGAGACTGCCGTGAAGCTATTTTATGAAGAATCGACTTACCTGGTTTGAGCGATAGTTCAATAACCCAATGAATAAACAGTTGACTAGTGTTTTTAAGTTCCTTGAAGTTTTCGTTCCGTGTCAAACATCAACTCAGTTATAAAAACTCTACAGATAAAACTGAAATAGATGCGGCTTGTATTATTAGCCTGGGATATTCTATGAAATTCACATCCGAGTGCTTCCACAAAAACACCGAGCAACAAAAATCTGTTTGAATTCATCCGGACCAAGTTCACCAAATATTATTTTATTTGTGACTCAAGTACAATCGCCATAGCTACAGCATGAACGTACTCAAGAAACGTCCAAGTGATTTCATAGAATAACTTCGATGACAATTTAAACAGACACTTATCAAATTCGTCATGATAATGCTCACGGACTGGAGGAATAAGAAAACGAAAACATCAAACCAATTGTATAATAAAAAAGGATTTTCGCCACCTTTCGACTCGTGTGTAAAACTTTAAATAAACCCGAATCCATCATCTATTCTTAAAACTTACGTAGATACCTAACGCTGTGTAAATAGTGCAAATGCAGTTTGCTGTGGAAATCCCCTATGCCTATCGTCTTCTCCACTAAATAGTTATCTCTGTATTCCAAACATTGTCCTGTCTAGTTAGTCTGTGTATCATATTTATCCAATTTAAATGTAATAGAAATATTAAGGAACTAAAAAAATCAAAAGTCTTCCCATATGTGTAATACTAATGTTTATAGATTTTGTATTTTGTTTTATTGTATAACGAATCATAGAAATAATTGCTTAGATAAAATAGAAACTTTTTAATTTTCTGTTAACTGTTTTGTTATGGTAGTTATGTTTCGTGCAGAAGTTTATTTCGCTAAAACAGTCGCTAAAACGGTTGAATTCTGCTATCAAATTTCTATGTTTTATGTTCTATGTAAAAAGCATTGGTCTATTCAAGTTGGTAATTCTCTAATTCACTTTAAGGATCGCGTGTGTATGGGTCACATTCGATTCTGGTGAGGGTGTTTTTGTTTTAAAATCAGAAATATTATAGCATTTTTAATGAAACAGAATTTAACCGAGTTAACGAGTTTGGGAATTAAAGTTATTTTTATATGTCTGCCAGTACCGAAAACACTCATTTGTGACTCTCAATGAGCTCGTGAGCGTTTATCATGACCCACTGTAGCAATACTTCAACGACAATATGTACATAGTAAATTTGTTTAATGTTTAATTTGAAACATTTTTGTATTTCTAGCTGCCATAATTCTTCCTATAACATTAACCAATAAACAACATTCTCTTTTAATTTAATTTAATTTTTTATTTATTTCATTTTATTAGTTTAACGCATTAAGCAAATGAGTGTAACTATTGATCAATGTTTCTCGAACAAAAATGCAACTTTGTGGGCTATAAAGATGTATTTTATGATCAGTCATTGCTTTAGTTCCACTTAGATTTGTAAATGATTTCAATCATTTTAATTAATATTACATATCATTATTTATTACTGTTGATTTTATGCAATATTAGAAATAGGAGTGTGAATTTGGTTGTGTAATGTAGAGTTAGGGTATAGTAATTTTTTTCTGTTGTAAAGTATATTTCATAATTGTGAGCCTTATGAAATATGGTGAAGTATAGAAAATGTATTAAGAAAAATCTACTTTTTATGAGAAACCTACTTGAGGCATTCCGTAGGTTTCTCAAAAACTAATTAGAAAATAAGAGATATAGAGTAGATGGAAGAAAATTCTAGTCGTAAGGTGATTCACGGTGCTAAAAAATGCTATGTGAAATTTACTTTGTAAAATATGTGTGTAAAAATTCTGTTCGGTCGGTTATTACTATGAAGCTGTAAATCCTTTAAAATTTTTGCATCAAACAAAATTAACAAAAACCAATTTAAAAAAAAAACAATATTGTTTCATACAACTAAAAACTCACTGCAGAGTATTGTGATTGCAATACTTTGCACTCCTCACATATGGTTCACAGGAGTTCAAAGACGAGGATCTCGATAGATGCTTTAGGATGTATGCCAATCTGAATCTTAAAGCACCGATGGTCAACTGCATTCCGAGCCAAATGCGAACGTTAATCTACGAAGGTGATCTGCGCTTTAAGGACAGCGTCAAGGAGGCAAGGATTTCTTTCTTGTTACACGACAATGTATATTCCCTCAAACACTATAATTTTATTCATTTATTTATTATATATTTATACTTTATTTCGGTTTTTTTTTTAAAACCATTACATTTTGTTAGTAAGAATTACTTATAATCTAGAGTAGTAACTACATATAAAGTGCCAACCGTTCTATTTAATTGAAATGTGCTTTCTAGTAATCATAATTTCAATACTTCATTCAAGTCAAAATAAACAAATTTCGAAATCAAATTCTGTTTTTAAATTTTCAACATTTATTTCATGTAATAAACTTTTGCATTCCATTACAGATCGAAGTCCGGGCCTTTCTGTTGACGGACATGTTACTAATTTGCAAGAAAATCTCCAAAGGGAGTACTTACCAATATAAAATGATCAGGTATTAAGGCCTATCGTATTTTGTAAAAAAAAAAACATGTTACTAAAATTTAAAGTTTGTTTTCAATTCGATGTTAATTTGCAGACCTAAATTCATGGTTGACAAGATTGTTCCGTTTCCAAAGTATAATCCTCGTACCACTAAGGATTTGCTGTCACTGGTATACGTGGTAGTCGACGAAGTGGGATCGGCTTACAATGCTTTTGCCCTTAGTGAGCCATCAAAAGAATCCGGAGGATCACTTAGAGTAAGTAAGACTTTCTTTTTCTCTCACTCTAGCATTTGATGTGTTCGTATAATTTGATTTTACATTTTCATTTAATCATTAAACATAAAAATTGCGTACTTGCTGTGTTAATTGACGAAATATATTTGAACTATAATTATAGCTTTGGGAGCAAAAAGTGCGCGAGGCAAGATTGACTTATGACCTCAGCGTGTGGTACGCCAGAAACCCATCCCGAGATATCTCTGAAATGGAGATGGACTCCTCCTCGGATTACGCCATGAGCGCCACTGGCAAGGTATACTATTTTATACTGCAATAATTAAATAATTCTTTCGAGTATTTTTGTGACGCCTAATTTTAACACTACATAAATAGTAATAATAAATAGTGGTTAAAGAGGCGGCGTCATAAAAATACTTGGATGGACTGTGTGAATGAATAATGCGAAAGAAGCGCGTGAATGTAGAGATATCGTATGATGGGCCCGAACCCACATAGTCGGATTAGAAGACGTATGTCGTATGTCTTCGTATATACATATATATAGTAAATATAAAAAATTAAAACAAACAATAATCTGCCGTATATTAATCTACTAATCTTTATTTATGTACGTACAAATTTCTAGTTCTATCCAAAAAAAAATTCTTCTGAATCCCCATGCTTAAATAATACCCGCAAATAAGAGTTTAAAACTAAAAACTTGTTCAGGTTGCCTGGAATTATACAAAAATAAAAAATTTCCTCTTTACCATTTTGCTGTATCCATTCAGAGTTTTGTTTCCTAAAACGATTCATTTAATAGGTATGAAAATCATTCCTATTAAATGAATCGTTTTAGGAAAAAGACATAAGAATGCCGTATTGTATGAATTTAATTAATATTAAATTTTTATGGAAGCGAATTTTTCAAACTCTTAAAGCGTACCCCTCTAACACATGTTTTAAAGTTCTATTGTGAAATGCAGTTTCAGCTATTCAACTTTTCAAAAAAATTTAATTCTCATTTCTCGACAAACGTTTCAATGAATTCCTGAAGACTTATACGTTGTGAATAAAAAGGACACGAACAACCGTTTTGTTTTTTTTTTTTAAACTGTTAATGCCTTTAATAGTGTACATAATGAGCTCAGTTAATTTCCTTCTTCTTCTTATTCAACCTGTGTTTAATTCAAAGCGAAATATCGATAAATTCATTTTAGTTTAATGGTATCTGATAAAATATTTTGGAAAACATATCGCGTTGAGTACAATTATGAGCCATTTAGTCATTTGACCGCCATCTTGGTCGACTGCGTACTGGTAGTCTCTAATATTACATTAGCACCCAATTTCTGAGTTTTTTTTTCCTGGTTCAAAACTTCTAATTCTTGACTTCAGAATTAGAAATTTTGAAGAATATTAATTGTTAATCAAATCCACGTGCACTTTTTCTCCTCTTGTATGTATTTCCCGCATGCCACTAGAAAATTTAAACTCAAGGTCATTCAATGTCGAATGTCTTAACGATTTGATATATGAATCGCTTCACGTCTATGTGATGTATTTGTTTTTTTTTTTATGGCTTAGATGGGTGGACGAGCTCGCAGCCCACCGGGTGTTAAGTGATTACTGGAGCCCATAGACATCTACAACGTAAATGCGCCACCCACCTTGAGATATAAGTTCTAAGGTCTCAAGTATAGTTACAATGGTTACCCCACCCTTCAAACCGATACGCATTACTGCTTCACGACAGAAATAGGCAGGGTGGTGGTACCTACCCGTGCGGACTCACAAGAGGCCCTACCACCTATTAAAATGTATATGTATGTTTGTTGTTATGTAGGGAATAAAACAGAGTTCAGAGGACTTGAACATTGAACGCGAGGCACGTGAACGAGTGGCAGCCATGCTCCACCGAAACATGGGAGCTTCAACCGAATATGACTTCTCCCAGGCCTCGATGAACACAGACTCTTTCGACGGTAAGTAGTAAACTAGAAATAGGTAAGTCTTTCGATTTTTTTAGGGAGATGAGCTCATGACTTACATTACAAGTGGAAACCTTTTTTTTGGTGATTGAAGGATTACTGGTGGCCCTGAGGCCTTTCCAGTTTCACCAGGACAGGTGAGCGAGCAAAGGCTCAGCCAGGAGGGGTGGGATTTGCTAACAGCTGCCCGAACGCCTCCGAAGGAGACCTGGTGGAAACCAGAGAGCATAGTCCCGGTAGTAGATTCTGCGGTGAGGTCTAGGGTTCGTGTTAGCAGGTTTGAGCCCCGTGAGCTTACCTACTAGTTAAGGTTACGCCGATATGGTCTCTCTAGACCATCAACTTAGGTAGTAAAAAAAAGATTACATAAATACCACAGCAGAAACGTCATCACTACGTTCTTTAACGTCAAAGTTTCTTTTGCATCGGAATAATATCGAGAACGACCACAGGATTGTTTCGAGGTAGAGATAGGCTAGACGGTGTTACCATCACGCAATGGCTGATAACACATCCTAGCACTAGTGGCTAAGGCAGAAATTCAGTGGAAATTGAAAAAGATAGCTTAGGCGTAAAAATGTGTGTGACCAATTACTGTCTGAGCTTAGAATAATAACAACAACAACCATAACTACAATAAAAACAATGAAATACATATATTAAATTATGAATTCGAATTATTGAAGTCGTCGTGGCCTAAAGAATAAAACGTCCGGTGCATTCATATATAGCGATGCAACGGTGTTCGAATCCCGCAGGCGGGTACCGATTTTTCTAATGAAATACGTACTTATCAATTGTTCACGATTGACTTCCACGGTGAAGGAATAACATCGTGTAATAAAAATCAAACCCGCAAAATTATAATTTGCGTAATTACTGGTGGTAGAGCCTCATGTGAGTCCGCACGGGTAGGTACCACCACCCCGCCTATTTCTGCCATGAAGCAGTAATGCGTTTCGGCTTAAAAGGTGGGGTAACCATTGTAACTATACTGAGACCTTACAACTTAAATCGCAAGGTGGGTGGCGCATTTGCGTTGTAAATGTCTATGGACTCCAATAACAACTTAACACCAGGTGGGCTACGAGCTCGTCCAGCAACCTAAGTAAAAAAAAATTTTTTTTGGAAAATTATGGATTACAATTCGAATCAAAAAATTGTATCACGTTTGTACATATGAAATAATATAAATAGATACCATAACTTTTTAACTTTCTAAAGTTGCACTTCTTTTCGCGCATTTAGGAAAACAGATCAAAACGTATTTTTAACGTGTGTCAATGCAATTCGCGGTAGGCAGCGGCTTGGCTCTGCCCTTGGCATTGCTGAAGTCCATGGGCGACGGTAACCACTCACCATCAGGTGGGCCGTATGCTCGTCTGCCTACAAAGGCAATAAAAAAAATGCAACAAATATTTTATTTGTGGGTAAAAATTTGATTTTACATTTATTTTAAAATTAAATGTTAAGAAATGAAATAATGTTGGGTAGGTATGTAAATAATTCAATCACGTAAAAGTCACGTACGAGCTTTGATTGTGATGTTACTGGTGTTCGTTCGGTTTTATATTTTTTAGTCCAGTCATTTTAGGCCAAATTAGGTGCATATCTCGGAACATCGACATACCCAGTATATTCAAAGTATAAAAAAAGTTAAATAGAAAAGTTGTAAAGAATTTAATTCTCTACAATATTGATAATTAATACATAGATAGCATAAAACCCATAATAAACGAGATATTTGCAAAAAATGTAAAAAAATCGATTTTTGTGATACACGACTTTAAAAATTGCGACTATCCAATTATATGTAAATTTTGAGAACTGTTTCAGGATGCCAAAATACAAGTTTTTATGTGGTAATATACTGGATATGTCGATTTTCCGAGGTCAACCCCCTATAATGACTGGACTATTTGTAAAATTCAGTCTCGTCGACTTATCAAATTGCGAATTGAAATTCTCAATTTGATAAGTCGAAATCGTGGTATTTATTGTTCGTAAACATAATAGGTATGACAAGCGGCGGTCGCACCACCGGTCTGCATAGCCTGCGCTACCAGATGCACCGAACCTCTACCGGAAGCTCAAGGAACTCACGCCTCTCAAGTTTCCAGCACTCTGTCAGGTAATAAATAAAACTATATATATATATATATATATATATATATATATATATATATATATATATATATACGACGACAAATAAAATAAAACAACAAATTTCATTTCCTTTATTTATTTATTTTTTTATTGCTTAGATGGGTAGACGAGCTTACAGCCCACCTGGTTACTCGAGTGATTACTCGAACCCATAGACATCTACAACGTAAATGCGCCACCCATCTTGAGATATAAGTTCTAAGGTCTGAATATAGTTACAACGGCTGACCCGCCTTTCAAACCGAAACGCATTACTGCTTCATGGCAGAAATAGGCAGGGTGGTGGTACCTACCTGCGCGGACTTACAAGAGGTCCTACCACCAGTATTACCACCACGAACGCAACGGTCACCATTTTTATTACACGATGTTATTCCTTTACCGTGGAAGTCAATCGTGAACATTTGTTAAGTACGTATTTCATTTGAAAAATCGGTAGCCACCTGCCGTATTCAAACACCGATGCATCGCTCGATACGAATGCACCGGACGTCTTATCCTTTAGGCCACGACAACTTAATTACGAAAATTTAACTTATTTGAAATACTGTTAGAAATCAACGTCAATGTATATGGCATTTAACAGTGCCGCTTCTCATGATGAGCCGCAGCCTGGCACCAGTAAGGCTGGCCTGTTCCTGAAAGCGGGCCCATCCGTGGAACACCCAATTCCAGCATTGACTGTCGAAGATGGAGAATCTCAGGGTGATTAAACTTTGACTATTTAATAACGAAAAAGTTTTTAATTCACTTTGCATTGCATAATTTTTCATAACCTTGAGATGTTCTTGTTTGAATAGTTTATATCTGTTTAATTTTCCATACATTATATTGTTTCGAGTATGTTATATTGAGTATCGCCCTTTAGACGTTTCGTGACATTCACATACTAAATACACAATCACTTACTTTTATAAGCGGAGTGTTCTTTTTTTTTTCCTACCTATGCAGGCTATTTCAGCTTCTCCTTGACGTGTAGGTGAGCTCACGGGGCTCAAACCGGAGTGTTTCTAATACTAGCCCTAGCATGAGCAGTGCTTCACAAAATCTTTCAGCGGATCGGAAACGCGACCCACTGAGAAGAACCGGCGAGAAACTCAGTGGGCTGTGTATATGGGTTAATTTACTCGTCGAACCCTTCGTCGCAAACGACGCGTTCGGCGAGGACGGTGATCGGTGCTTGAGGTACCTAAAAGCACCGTTAATGGATCGGGAAGATCCGTAATGACGACGGAGTGTTCATTACATAACGTAGCCCGCAATAGATAATGCCCGCGATGGTACCCGACTCATCGGTTTGCCAGCCTTCAAACATTATGAATTAAAAAAAAATCAGGAAGCTTATGATGATTCAGGAAAGAATACTGCTACTATGGTGGAAACGGAATGTGTGCAGTAGGGTAAATCTAAAATGTAAATGTTATTTAAAAATTTCATGTTCCATTTATGTTGTTAAAATAGGAGGAGCATCCACGATCACTGTGAACGTGGTCAGCGAGAGCGAATCAGAAACCGTTGTCCAAGGTGATCTCTCTCCCGTGGTTTTACCTGTTCCGGTTCACGTCCCGGGAGTTCAGCCACCACCGGTAAGTGCCGCTCCTTTAGGTCATCGTATATTTTCTTCGTCCATACATCTCCACTTGCCAAGTGCATCGGATTACTGCAGATCGGTCTGCACAGAATCATATAGACTCAGATATATTGGAACCAGCTGTTTTACTGGATATGATTATTGGAACGAAGTTCCTTATGGGACGATGCGGAGGGGTACCCTAACTGGGAAAAAACTTCCGTAACGTAAGATTTTTATTAGTAATGCACACCGTGTACGTACGACTTAACTTTGTATACTCGAATAGAACTTAAAATTAATATTTTTATAATAAAGAACTTCGTTCCTATCCGGTGTCCCACGACACCACACATCTTTTTTTTAATCACTTTGATCCTCCATTTCAAAGGTTTTGCGTTACTCGTTCAATTCTTCAATTCTCAGTTTTTATTATCACATATATGAAAATGGAAATTGATGATGGTGATTTAATAAGGGTAATTTAATAATTGGGCTATTGTCGTCGTTGATTCCCGAAATGTTAATTGCCCACAGCCTGTGGTGGTGCTGCAACACCCTTCGCCGTACAAGCCTCCCATGCGCAGCGTGTCTGCCACCCGCCACACTCTGCGCGTACAACCAAAGTCCGGAATATACGCTCTCGTACACAGCTTACCGGATTTGACAATTGATCAACTGGCCTTAGCCCGCGACCGCCACTCGCACAGGTACGTTCTCCTTTATTTCTTTTAATACCAAATTTCAGTTAATGTTTACAAATTTAAAAACGTCTACCAATGCGGTAGTTATCTAAAGGCTTCGTCAAACAGAACGCGTACTTAGCGCTGCGTTTTAATGTCGCGCTCTTTTCATGTCACACAAATTGACTAGATGAGTCCAACGCTCCTTGACGCAACGTATTCGCCAAAACATAGTGCCTTTCGATAGCAGTGTGAAAATTTAAAAGTATTAAGATGTCCAGGGATTCAGATGTGGCATTGTATAAGCATGAGTATTTTCTAACTAATTCTATCAATTTTTCGGGCATTATCCAGTATTTTAATACACATTTACTCGGAAACTAAAATAAAATTTGAAAAAATTACAACACCTGACGTCAAAGCGTCCTAACGCCGCGGCAGAGCGTTGCGTAGTGCATACTGTTAGCGCTGGCGCTCTGATTGACAGTATATTACCACAGTAGTACAACACATGTCAGCTCAGCGTTTTGACGCGCGCTAAGTACGCGTTCTGTTTAACGAAGCCTTTAAGCGTATTATCTAAAATAGTGTGGGTGCTAACGATATCTAAATCTTGATAATTTAAACAGCGCCGGTCCACCGTCTGCTTCTGAGAAACTGTACCAATCTCACCAAGAATTATTACAAAAAAATCGTCTTTCGACGTCTCAAAACCAATACCTAAGCCCTGACCATCGCAGCGCGAGTCAGCCGCCCTCCAGCCCTAGTAGGTAATGTTGTTAATTACATTAAAATGTTCTACTCCAAATATATTACTCGGAAAAACAATATTAATTTATTTTAAATATTCACTAATCAGGGCGTCGCTCAAACGAGGACTAGCGTTCTCCTACTCATTCAAGAATCCTCCACTTCACAAAATGGGACATGTAAACAGCCAATCTCAGGCTCAAGCCGAACCCACGCCTTCAACAAGTCAACCATCAAAGGTAATAAATACAGTATTTTAACAATTCAATTTAAAAAATGCCAAAGGAATGCTTAATTAAATATAACGATTTTTAAATAATCTGCACAATAGCCGGAAATAGAGGCTGTGAGTCCTCAACCTGGCCCAAGTACTAGCACGGATAAAGCCGAGAAGAAAACAAAACAAGTCAGCACCAGGTAAATATTACTGAAATATTTTTTTTTAGATTAAATTTAGTCATTTATACACTACATCAAACAAGAGACCTATTGTATTCATATTCTTTCTAAATTTTAGTTTTAAACTAAAAAGAACACGCTGTATGTGTAGTATTCGTAAAACAATCGCATTAGTCGAAACCCGATGAGTTTACCAGTAAATATTCAAGTTCATCGCGATTTATCAACAGATCGATCATAGCTTAATATTAAAAATACCCTTATTTGAATTTCATGATCATAATATACGAGGGTGGGATGATAAGTAACTAGCCTCTGCTATTTAAAAAGTTAAAATTCAAAAAATATATATGTCATTTGTAAATTCGTCTCTCTGGCCACCTGTGCTCTAAATTTCAATTTGGTGGCGTGAAAATTTTATTGATTTTTTGTCATTTGAAAATATATTTCGTCAAGTGTTTTCAAAATGGATAAATTTGAACACAGATCGGTGATAAAGTTTTTTCATTTGTAGAGCATGAAGGGGAAAGATATCTATGACGAGTTAAAGAATGTTTTGGGTGAATGTGCTCCTTCTTATGCCACAGTAAAAAACTGGGTGGATTAGTTTAAACGCGGTCGTACATGTGTCCAAGATGAAGCCCACCCCGGACGTCCAAAAAGCGTCACGACACCGGAAATGGTCGTGAAAGTACATGATATTATTTTAACAGATCGACGATTGAAGTTATCTGAAATAGCTGACACTACAGGTATCTCAAAAGAACGGGTACATCATATCCTAAGTGAAGAATTAAATATGAAAAAGTTATCGGCCCGTTGGGTGCCGCGATTGCTTACGCACGATCAAAAAAGGATTGGGGTACAAAACTCAAAAGAATGTTTGGACCATTTCAGAGTAATAAAACCGATTTTTTACGTCGATTTGTAATAACAGATGAAACATGGGTTCATTATTACACGCCAGAATCAACAATTCAATCAAAACAGTGGATGCAATCGGGATGGTCGGTTCCAACAAAGGTCATGGCTGTAAAGTCGGCTGGATAAGTCATGGCTTCCGTCTTTTGGGATGTAGATGGGATCTTGATGATAGATTACCTTCCTAAAGGTCAAACAATTAACGGAGAATACTACGCTAATCTTCTAGATAATCTTCATCAATGTATTCAGTAAAAACGACCAGGCTTGGCGAAAAAAAAAAATCTTCCACCCTAGGGTCACACATGTGTTAAAGCTATGGCAAAAATCAATGAATTGAATTAAGATTTGCTGCCCCACCTACCTTATTCGCCTGATCTAGCGCCATCAGACTTCCACTTATTCCCTAAGCTCAAAACTTTTTTGGGCGGACAGAAATTTGCCACAAATGATGAAGTCATAGCCGCTGTAGAGGAGTATTTTACAGGCCTCGAAAGAAATTATTTTATGGAAGGCATTACTGCTTTAGAACGAAGATGGAATAAGTGCGTAGAGGTTCACGGAGACTAGGTCGAAAAATAAAATTAATATTATCACCGAAAGTTAAGTGTTTTATTATTAGGCTAGTTACTTATCATCCCGCCCTTGTAATTACATTAACCTGAAAGATGTCAAATAATAATTGCACAGACAAGCACATAAATCAAATGAAAGACAACTATTGAGATTTCCGAAATGGCCCGCGTTAAACAAAAACCGTAAAAAACATCTAGATTATAATGGCTATCGTTTTCATGGTAAAAAGATTCGCCACAAAATGTTGCATCACCATCTTGTTTCATCACTCTGCTTTTGTATGTGGGAAATATTTTGAAGAATCTCCGTGTGTGTTTTGTTTACTTAAAAACAATATCGACATTATAGAGGATAAGAATAACGGTATTGCCTAAAACATGACCATAACCCTTTAAATATTTAACATAATGGTATCACTGATTTTATCAAAAGATTTGTAGTATTTTCTTAAGTCATTAAAGGGTAAGATTATGTGTTTAAAGTATGGAGTATAAGTGTAAGATTATTTTTGAGCGGTTTCGAAACATGCTATGATTTAAGGTGATACCGTCATCTTCAGGCTCTATATGAATATGTTCATAAACACATACATTTCGGTAACTGTATTCAATTTAAATGTTATTATGGTAATGGGTTTTCATTCATTATCACCCCTGTAGTTTCGGTGGGTCATTCATATAATTCTATTTATATATATTTCTTACTATTATTATATACTTATATATATTTATATTTTATGTTTCATTACTAAATGTGTTACCATTTGTGTTAGTGCATTCTTCACGTCTGGAGGGTGGCACAGCAGGTTCGAAGGATGACAATTAAAGAGCTGGCGAATTACATTCTCCAGGCAAGATTTAGATCAATACAGATGTTTCAGTTGTAGAAAGCTTAGATGTTACTACGGCTTTTGATTCGTGCTATCTTAGTATATTTTAGACGTAGCTACGAACGGCGATTTTTTGACACTTCAGAATGGTTTGGAGCACTCTGATACTCTGTTTAAGTCGAAAGAAATTGTCTTCAACTATTATCTCTACAGCGTTCGTTTTACTTATGTAAAACTACCATAATTACTACCAAACAGATATGTGTTGTAATATTTTGAAGCCCGTGAACATCAGTCGAAGTCTCAATTGCATCAACCAGCGCAGCCGTGTATCTAGCGGAATAATAATAATACGCTCTAACAACAATTAACTTGTAAGTATTTATAGAAGAAAGTAGTAGTAAACTTGTAAAATTACTTTAAAATGGGTGCTCCATCAAAAATCGTTCTACAGTACGTTTCTTCTGCGACTATTCAAATTATTTTGGTTCGGTTTATTATGAATACACATACGATACACATACATATATTAAAATATGATTGGCTCATTATGAATACATTATACATACACTTAAACATTAGAATATGAAGAATAAGTAATTGTATTGCGATAGGTATAGGTAGAATTATAATACTAACATACATACATGTATGAACTTAGAACGTGCCGTATCTACTTATAAAATCGGTATCAACTTATAGTATCAGTACTTATAATATAGGAATCAGGGAAGAATTTGGTACGGAATGCGGGCAGAATAGAGATGTTAATAATTAAAGATTTAAAAATACACTTTCAAATCATAACACAAATCTATTCCATTTCTAAAATAAGATTCTTTGGTTTTTTTTTTCAAGCTTACTTATATCTGTTTGGTATTCCTATTGATTTTGTTTTCAGTCCTTCGCAGTAACATTTTAGGTTGATTCTGGTCAATAAGTCAATAATTTTGTTGTTTTATCTTATCTTTCCACAGCAGGAACAAAGATAAAAATAAAGAAAAAGGCAAAGATAAAGAGAAAGGCAAAGAGAAAGACAGCGACAAGGATTTATCAATAAATAAGGGTGAAAAAGAAAGTAGTGCGAATTCAACCCCGAGCCGCGTTTCTAAGGAGGGCAAGAGCGAATGACATCGGCGCTGGCGGCGGTCTCATGACTGAGACAGGGCCCCCCGCTTTGACTTTCATTGGTTTTATAAGTGGTGCTCATAAGCTATCAAAACCAATGACATTCTTTTAGTTCAGTGCTTAGTGCTTACTATATCAGAAACCATCTTCGTAGTGTGTTCATAGTTTTAGGTGTATTTTTTTATTAATTAAAAAATTTGTACATAATTTTGATTGTTGTAAATAGTTGTAGCTTTCATAGGTTTTATATTGAAATAATTATCTTTAAATTGTTTATTGGAATCGGATAAGAAATTTGTAAGAATAATAATGTAATTCTTATTCGAGTAATGTGTTTTAGAAATGTAACTTATAAGTTTTATTAAATGGAAGGATTTGATTCGAGCCCTACACCACAGCAGAGAGTAATAGGAAAGAAAGAAGAAGAAGAAAAGTAATTGTAGTTGTAGGCGTCACATTTGAGTAGAATTAATATCTTAGTTTATGTATATTATGATATTTGTGTAGTGAATAATGGTATTATGTAGTTAAATGATAAAACTGTAAATTATTGTAAATATTAATCGTAGAATTATTGTTAATGTAGGCTTTTGTAAATAAATTAAGCGCACAACGAGGTCTTGAGCCTTAACAAAGGAAACATAATGTGTTCAACGTTTTATTAAAATTTGTAACGTTCAAATTTTCATACTCTACATCTTTATGTTCGAAGTTCGGTGTTTCCCGAGCGCTATGACATGTCCTTCTTCAAACGAGGCTTGTGGAGACTATTAAGCGGTAGGCAGCGGCTTGGCTCTGCCCCTGGCATTGCTGAAGTCTATGGGCGACGGTAACCACTCACCATCAGGTGGGCCGTATGCTCGTCTGCCTACAAGGGCAATAAAAAAAAAAATAAAAAAAAAAAAAAAAATTACATTTTGTAATATTTCGTGGTTCAGCAAATACTTTTATCGTTGAGTTCTCGTTTTGTTTGTTATTCCCTGTCATTTTATTTCCGATACATAAAGAACTGCAAGTAACTAAGGCCTTACATGACACATAGTGATAGTACGTGTATTGTACAATTAGGTAGGACAATGTACTAAGCACATAACTTAAGAATGAATTAGTTATAAGACAACCCGGAAAAGATGTACATACTAGGTATTAGACTGACAATACGACATCACACTTTTAAATATCTTCATTTTTTGGTTTCACATCTTAAATTATTTAGTACTAATACTCTTCTCTAAGTTTAATATTAGAACCAAGTGATACGCACAATTACTATAAATAATTAGATACTATGGATATCTGTAGCATTAAATTTAATGTAACATTTTGTTTTCCAATCTGTCTGGTTATTGAAATATTCAGGCGAACGTCCGCTCGAGCGTATGTTGCTCTACTTACTATCGCATAGTATATTACTTGTGCGATATTTTGTATTGCCAGACGAACCTAATACAACATCGTCTTACGAAGGTACTTTGTGGTCTGTATCATCAAATTCAATGAAAACGAAAAACAATTTTCATAGATTATCTAGACGTTGATAGTATTATTTTCGTCACGTAGGTTAAAATAGTGCCCCAATTTTCAATGATCACAATTTATGATTTCGCTGAGTGTGATGTACTCACGGACGAAGACTAAACGCCATGGGCGTGAACTGACTTGACGAATTTTCCCGGTTACGACGTAAACAGGCCAACTTTCTTTTAATAGTAAATAGTTCTTTACCAACACAATTAAAATAGAACACGCAACAAGCGGTTTAATTCGAAATATCAGGATACTTGTGATGCTTTTAGATTACTGTTACAACTTTTAAAGTTGGCCTAGACCTTCTCTTTGAAATTGACACAAAAACTACGTTTAGTCCTTTAGGAATCGCGTAATTTTAATGATTATTATTACATATGTCGATGTACTATTGTATTATCGCGATGTCTAACTTGTAGTAGTTAGTTAGTTACCTTTGAGAGTAACACATTTAAGTCAGTCGTCTATTTTTGAATATTTTATAGTAACCCGTATCGATGTGTCTTTAAGATGCTTAATCTATTTATTATATTAAATAGACTTATATTAAAAATTTTGTATGGTACAACAAACGACAAAAATTCACCAGCAGTAGGTGTACAAGCAAATATTTTTAATCTAAGTGTATTATTATTGACAATCTTTAATGGACGATAAGAATACAGTAATCAAACATTTCATGTACTGCTTTGTTTTAGTTACAGTTACATAGAAAATGGATCTTTATTCAATTGTTCAAATCTTTCCGAAGTAGATACAGTTTAACAACAAATAGTGGTTTTTACTCTTATATAAAAATGTACTTCTCTATCCCCCTTTAAAATTAATAGACAGTAGATAATAGTAACTTCACAGGTGTTTTCAAGATGATATTTAACGGTTTTCGATAATTATAATTAGACGAGCGCATACTTTGACTCGTGCCAACTATAATGTTTGTTCCACATCTAACATTTCACTATTGCTACAACCCTCAATTTTATCGACTCGATCCGAGTTTTTCAATCCTACTAAATTATCGGAAAGTGATGAGTTTGTGCGGTCTTTTCGATGACTAGTTTTGACAAGTAGTTGTAAAATATGATAAAAATTAGTACTTCAAAAAGACCGAATTGAGCCCCACGAATTTATAAACAATCCGAGAATTTGTATGGAATTTTGCAGTTATGTACAGGTTCTCTCGAGAATAACATTGTTTTTTTTTTTTATTATTTTTATGAACACGATACATATGGCTACTGTATGTTTCATCGATGGGCAGAATTGCTGGATGATCAATTTTTTAAGATAGACCACAAGGTAATCCAATAATTACTGCTTATTGTCAATCAGAATGTAAGTAGCACGATGTGGAACAAACGTTTAGGGTTTAAAATTCATTGTAATTTGTAATCACAAAATTGTAGTGTCAAAATATCAATAAACAAGCTTTACGTGTAAATAATTGTTGAATTATTTATTTTCCTATAATTGTATCCTATATTTTCCAAAAAAAAAGAAGCAATTTTTTTTCTGACATATATACAATAATAAAATATACATATTAATATAATCATAAAATATATGTATACAACTAATAAAGTTTAATAAATAAACATTACATAAATCAAAGATGCATTTATTAAAAAAAACATATAAACCGATTTAAATGGAGCAAATCACTGAAACTATCTACATGCATTATCACAACAATATCCGGTCGGCGTAGTTCGAAATATCCTGTTCTTCCGATCTTTCGCGTAAACCGGTCCAGGGGACGCACATAGCCCTTGCTTCAGACATGGTGCCCAAAGAGCCAACAAAAACGCAGCCAAAAGCATCCCGTAAACCATAATGTGAAAAATTATCTGACCTGTAATAATTGTTGTTACATTGTGTTATCCATCGGAAAAAGACATCATCATCACCATCCTACAGTCATACACTGCTAGGTACAGGCCTTTTATAATAGGAGCGCTTACACTTATATGAGGAAAATTCTTCCATAATAAATCATTAGGGAAAGAGTTTATTTTTTACATTTGTCTGTGACTACGTTTCAGCGTCATGGGTCATGAATGGTAGCATGCGTACGGTGAAGACTTTTGCTTTTAAGTCTCGCGTGATTGCTGAGGTAAAGATAAGACGGAGTTTCCTTTACACAGCCTAACTGTATGCGCCGTCTCTGCTTCTATCTAGGGGTTGGCCCTGCCTAGCTGAGCAATTTGGCCTAAATACTTAATCAAAAATGAACAAAATATTACATTTGAATTTGGAATCTGTCATTTTTATATGATTGCTCATTGAGTTTTCTCATTTTGGCGCCAATACATTGTACAATATTTTGCGATATTAAAATGGAGTGGGGTGATAAAGAGAACCGAATCGCTGTGATTGCATTACACAAAGTAGGTATGGAGCCAAATGTAATTTTTAAAGCTCTCCATACCCTTGGTATTAGTAAAATGTTTGTGTACCGGGCTATTAATAGGTGCAATGAGATCTCCTCTGTTTGTGACAGAAAAAGATCTGGCCGTCCACGTAGTGTTCGTACGAAAAAGGTGGTCAAAGCAGTAAGGGAAAGGATTCGAAGAAATCCTGTCCGAAAGCAAAAGATTTTATCTCGGGAGATGAAGATAGCACCTAGAACCATGTCGCGTATTTTAAAAGATGACTTAGGACTTGCAACCTATAAGAGACGTACTGGTCATTTCTTAACTGATAATTTAAAAGAGAATAGGGTAGTAAAACCGAAACAATTACTGAAGCGGTACGCAAAGGGAGGTCATAGAAAAATTTGTTTACGGATGAGAAAATTTTTACAATTGAGCAACATTTTAACAAACAAAATGACCGTATTTATGCTCAAAGCTCTAAGGAAGCTTCCCAATTAGTCGACAGAGTGCAACGTGGGCACTATCCAACTTCAGTGATGTTTGGTGGGGTATTAGCTATGGAGTGACTGAGCCATACTTTTGTGAAAAAGGTATCAAAACATCAGCACAAGTGTATCAAGATACCATTCTTGAGAAGGTAGTGAAGCCCCTTAACAACACCATGTTCAATAATCAAGAATGGTCCTTCCAGCAAGACTCGGCGCCAGGTCATAAAGCTCGGTCTACGCAGTCTTGGTTGGAAACGAACGTTTCGGACTTCATCAGAGCTGAAGACTGGCCGTCGTCTAGTCCCTCTCTCTGGCTTATTCAAATAAATTTATTGAATTTAAATAGAAAAACGGCAATCGAAGACAATTCAAAAAAGTACTTACATAGGATATTACTATAATTGCATCAATAAACGCAACGATATATGTTAATCTTCACATGATCATGCAAAAATTTGAAATGCACACGACGGTTACGCGTTTTTTAAATTATGTGGACTTATTTACGAACAGTTACGCTGACATTATTAAAGTGATGTATGCGGTGTACTTAGGTGGCATAGATAATAACTAGGTTTCATACTTCAGTGATAATAACATGTAACTGGAATATCAGGGAGACAATAAGAAAAGAGATTTTTTATTAATATTAAAGAATTAAGGGGATAAGACATGATATTGATTTGACGGACCACTTTCGCCATTTTGTGGCGGCCTGTTTAATTATAATTGTCGAGGAATTGAGAATACCTCTGTTTCTGTCAAGTCAAACAACACTTTTCATCAAAATTCTATTTTATCGCTTCGGGGTGACATTTCGAAATATTTTTGTATTAAGTGCGAGAGCTAGAGAAATGACTAGGCGCTGTATTGCAAGACGAAAGAGCCCGAAACAGTAAAAAATATAGTGAAAAATGTTTTTTGAATTTTTTTTTTTTTGGAAATGCCGCCCCTCTTGTCTAAAGACCTTACTCCTTAGCTAAGGCGCATGCATGAACTCAAAGGCTCAACTAGGAGAAGATCCAGCGAGAAACTCAGCAAAGCAGAGGTTCAAGTAGACCTCTTCAGCGAAGTCGGCGAGTACGGTCACGGTGAATGTAAGCTAAATTTAGCAACTCATAAACATAAATAAAACTACTTTTTCAAAATTGGCGCTTATCAACTTACTTTGGATTCACGCGTTATGACGAGGAGCCAAATAAAAAATTGGCACGTTCTGTAATTAATTACAGAATGCAATGAAAAATGGTTACTCCTCAATTTTTCCATCTTATTCGCCATATTGGAGTAATATAATACTTCATTGCGCTCTTACAGCTGAGATAAATCTAATGACATCTCATACTCGTAATGTGTTAAAATCTGGCAATAGGCTCGGGCGGTAGCGCGTATCAAAAAAAATTAAACATAATTAAAATTAAAGAAGAAAGAAATAAACAAAGAATTAAAATATAAAATTGTAAAACATATAAACATATAAACTTGGTTCTCTGGTTATTTTTTTTATCATCTCTTACTTATATATTCAGACTTACTTATATTACTTATATTAATTATTGTGTAACTAAACACAGAAAAAAATAATTAATCATACAAGTCTTTATTTGTTATAGACAAATTGATTAAATTTTATCAATTAATGATTTCAATTGATGAAAATTTACAATATCCTTCATTAAAAATAAAATATAGGATAGGTAATATATTACTGCCAGCTACAGGAGCAATGAGAAACTAATCGAAACGAAGCCATCTAGTGGCTGACGCCCGTAAACATTTTTGTTGAGTGGTTGAGTTGCTTATCTATAAATAGTTTATGTGTATTATCTATGGAATGTGCTTCGATGACACTTCCTCTACCGAAGCACACCACCCGAAGTGAGTCGATATTTGACGAGTAGTTGCGGCTTACATCCACTATAGTAGAATTATTTTCTTGGTGCAGTTTGGGTCATAAAACATAGCCCGGCTAGGGCGGCGAGCATGTTGCGCGGGCGCAACGCCATTATCGATAAAAACAAATGAGTCATCGAAGGCAGGTACACGGCGGCGGGGCGGTATACGAAGAAGGTGGTGAGAGATTGTTATTTTATGAGTCATTTGTTGTACTTACTTGCAAATTATAGTACATATGTCGAAGCGAAATGTGTTTTTATGCATTCGCTCTCTGTATTTCTTTCGTAACACAATGGCTTCTCCTTTGTTTTATACCATAACGGCAGAATTTATTCAAAATAATATTTGCAGTGTTGTTATCAACAATGTGTTAAATTTTTTAACTGAAATGAAAATAGATCCCGAAAAGTTACAAAGTGTTTAATTTCTGCCGTTCTCGTTAACATGCTGCGGCGATATGTGGTGTAAGTGTTCGATTAGTGATTTTTACTTTCATTTTTATCACTAACCCACAAAATGACAAAACTATCGATAACGCTTATCGACAACAATAATGCGCATCACTACGCCCGTCCATAAGGCTAGTGAGTGGAAGAGAGATTTTTTTTCCTACCTATGCTGATAGCCTTGAGAGGCTATTTCAGCTTCACCCTAACGTTTGTAGGTGAGCTCACGGGGCTCAAACCGGAGAGCTAACAATGACCCTAGCAAGTACCCCAGTGCGTCGCAGAATCTACCACCGGACCGGAAACGCGACCCCCTTTTTTTTCTTTTTATTGCCCTTGTAGGCAGACGAGCGTACAGCCCACCTGATGGTGAGTGGTTACCGTCGCCCATGGACTTCGCCCACTGAGAAGATCCGGCGAGAAACTCAGTGGGCTGTGTGTATGGATTAATTCGCTCGCCGAGCCCTTCGTCGCAAGCGACGGGTTCGATGACGGTGACCGGTGCTTGTGGTGCCTAAAAGCACCGTTAATGGATCAGGAGGATCCGTAATGACGTGCTTTGGGCGACGTCGACTGTTTACCATTGGGTCTATAGGGTTGGGTATGTAGTTTCCAGCGGCCACGACAAGAGGGTTCTCATGTCGTGCCGCCTTCTCAAAGTGGCGCAGCGATGCCGACTGTAGATACTTACTAACGGAATCGAGCTTCAGGTCATCGTGGAGATCCACATTCCTCAGGAACCATGGTGCTCCGACGGCTATCCTGCAGAATCGGGATTGAATAACCTGAAGGGAGTTCAAGGGGGTGCGGGCCGCGTGAGCGAATACTACGCTTGCATACGTCATGACGGGGCGTATGCAAGTTTGCTTCGTCTACAAAGCATAGGATAGAGTCGTCCTAGTATAAATGCGGCACGATCGCGTACCGTTTTAATGTGGGGACGGAATGTCATCCCTCTGTCGAGGGTGACGCCTAGGTATTTGACCTTCGAGGCCCACGGTATGGGCTGGCTAAAGAGAGTGATGGGGCTAACGGCGGAGGTGTTTGCGCGCCTATTAGGGAGTGGGATGCTCGAAGTGGTATTCGAAGGGCAACCCCTTTTGAAGAGCACCGCTGTGCTTTTCGTGGGGATGATGTCGATGCACCACTTCCGGAACCACTGTCCCATGGTGGCTACTGCGATCTGGAGTCGCCGATGCAGCAACGACATCTTCCTACACGAGTAGTAGATAGCCATGTCATCGGCGAAGAGCGCTAGATGGGCCTCCGGAGACCGGGGTATATCATTGATATACAAACTAAATAACAACGGGGACAGCGCAGAGCCTTGCGGGACTCCGGCAGTCAGATGACGGGTGGAAGAGAGAGTGAAATATTCGCTTCACCGCTCCGATTTTTTATGACCCAAACTGCACGGACATAATAATTCTACTATAGGTAGTAAGTACGCTATCGCTTCGTTTGTCGTATGTAAATACATATTTTACTTAGCTTATATTTGTTTCATACAGCTCAATATAACTTGGCCAGAGAATTTATATTAGATGTTTAAAGATTTTATTGTTCTCACTTTGATTCGGGCTCACGCTCTACCGTTGTCTAATGACTAATTAAGATAGGTTTATTGATTAAATCATTATATGCAAGTTTCTCTACGATTTATCGTTCTTAATAAGAAATTTGTCTATTAAATAAAATAAAAAACTTTTTAATATAAAAATATACTTTATTTCTTTATCTACTTAAAAAATAATGTAAGCACCCTAAACATTTTCACAATTATTAATATTCCTGGTACCAATAAAACAAAAGCTTTCAATAGAAGCCCGATAGATTGAGTGCCGATCACCTAAGCTTAAGGAATGCTGATATACTTCGGAATGTACTTTCCATTGATAACAATTTAACTAAAAAAATTCAGAACAACTAATTACTCACTGAAACCATTCGTTCAATATCGCATTCGTCATTCTATTATTTTGTTCGTTGCGTAAAAATTTGGTCCCGCACACCGAAAAGAGCGTAAAGCAAAAGTATAAAATTAAATAATAGAGCAAAAATAAAATTCGAAAATAGTTTTTAACGTTTCACCTAAAACAAAATTACAATAAATAATATTAATCATTATAATATTGCGTTCAGTTGTTGTATGTCGATGCGGAAATTTTCCCGCCATGCCCGGTCCAGTTCGTGTGAATGAACTGACCGGGATTGTGCAGAAGCTCGTATGTGTGGGCCCCGAAATAATCCCTTTGTGCCTGTAACGAAACAAAACTCTGTATTCTTCACTCTCTTGTTCGGTCAGTCGTGTGGTTTCTTTATTAATTACTTGTAGTAACAACAACGGGCGACATCTTTAAATTGACAGACATCAAGGTACATGACAAAAGACACATCAACTATAGGTAGAAACGAGCAAATATGTAGCTTTAAAAAAACTATCATTCGGTATCAATGCAAAAAAAAATAGGTACACCGTTTTTTTTAACTACCTATCTGCCACCCGGGCCTATTCTGGCTTCACCTTGACTGGTGGATGAGCTCACGAGGCTCAGTATAAAATAGTTTTCTAACACTAGCCATAGCAAAAGTAGTGCTTCGTTAAATCTACAGACGGATCGGAATCGCGACTCACTTAAAAGGCCCCATATTAACAAGGCGCTATTGGAGTAGTACTGAGAATAAGGCTTGAGGCCTCCTATATTTTTTTGTATCTTATTCTTTTTCCAAATAAAACAAATTTCAGTTTCATTATTATTGGTTTTTAAACGAATCAAAAACGATGTTACCTATATATTTTTTTCGTAATAATTGGTTAAGACAAAATTTGCGTTACTAATTTATTTATTTTTTTGAAAATCGTTTTCTATCCGTTCAGACGAATAAAGAACTGGATGGTATTTTTTATGAGAAACCATTGTCAAAATATCGACACATTTTGACATTAACAGCAATTTCCGTGCAATAAGGCATCATTTAAGCACTCCTCTGTCCGTATTATTTGACGGGACAACGGTCGAGTTGAAGAATCGTTACCTGCAATAGATTAGCGGGCAGAACTCCAGATCTGTATCCGTCGTAGAAAGCGAGAGCCGCCGATAATGCCGGAGCCGGTACTCCCACAAGAGCCGCCTGGGCCACGACCGTTCTCAACGAGGACTGAGCCGAACTGATGCGCTCACTGAAGAATGGATCCAATAGCAGGTTGGTCAGCTGAGGATTCTTCGTGAAAGCATCCTGTAATCGTTGTTATTATGGAAAACGTGTTAAGTAATAATAATAATAATAATAATAATAAACACTTATTCCAAACATAAATTTACAACAAATGAAACAAAAATTAAAAGAATATTAACAAGGCTTGGAAACGGTTACCGGCTCAGCAATGCCTAACAGTACCGAGACAATCAGTACCGCGGCGCTGATCTTCCGCCGGCACCTGCGGAGGAACGTGCACACCAGCATCAGACCGACCAATCACTGTCTGAGCTTAGAATAATAACAACAAAAACCATAACTACGATAACAACAATAAAAACAATGAAATACATATACTGAATTATAAAAAAATACAATTGCAATGCACAATTACAGTACGATACAGTGTTAGGATATCACTTTAAACACTCGAACTTGGTCTCAAGGACAGCCAGCCGGTTTCGCGTTGTCGGGTTTATTTATGGACTTCGGAAACCGCTCCACGCCAGACGGATCGTGAGCTCTTCCACTGTTTCAGTGCAATTAAAAATATCGTAAAATAATAATACATTTTACGATATTTTTAATAGCGATAATAACACTATGTTTGCATTTTACAAATGTACATAATAAATTTTAACATGAGTTTACTTAGTATTCACTGTCGCGCATATTCATTGTTTGAACTTGCAATGTTAAATATCATGGTTCTTTAAATATATTTAGATATATGTACATAAAAAAATACAATCAGTTGTGTAATCACAAGTAAATTAGTCGTAGGTACCGAGAGCACTTTTGCTTGGCTATGAAATTTGATTATATAGACGTGCCCGTAGTTCTTTTTTTTTCCTACCTTTGCTGATAGCCTTTAGAGGCTATTTCAACTTCGCCCTAACGTGTAGGTGAGCTCACGGGGCTCAAACCGGAGTGTTGTCAACACTGGCCCTAGCGAGAGCAGTGCTTCGCAGAATCTACCACCGGATCGGGAACGCGACCCACTGAGAAGATCCGACGAGAAACTCAGTGGGCGCGTAGTACATCCAGTGTTAATTGAGAAATTACAGCCCATAGACATCAAAAGGGGAGCTTACCTTTACCGTAATCTTGAAACATGAGATCGTAATCTTAATTGTATTATAATAAAACAGCTGTCTCTCACCCTACGAATTGGGCACGCATTACGCGGCAGAAGGGCTTACAAAAATGGTTTATAAGCTTAATATGTAATCATTACTTTTTTTTATTGCCCTTGTAGGCAGACGATCATACAGCCCACGTGATGGTGAGTGGTTACCATCGCCCATAAACTTCAGGAATTCCAGGGGCAGAGCCAAGCCGCTGCCTACCGCTTAATACTCTCCACAAGCTTCTTTTGAAGAAGGACATGTCTTGGCGCTCGGGAAACACCGTGGTGGGGAGCTCATTCCATAGCCGGATGGTACGTGGCAAAAAAGATCTCTGGAAACGCACTGTCTATGAACGCAGCGGTTCCAGATAATATATAAAAAGCAGATGAAGGGATCATCTCAAACAATTCCTCAGAGCACTCCCCACGGAACATACGGTACAAAATACAGAGGGAACACAAGGCCCTCCGCAGACCCAGAGATTCCAAACGATCCGTGAGAATGGGATTATCGACAATCCGAACGGCCCTCTTCTGTATGGAGTCAAATGGAAGAATATGGTTTTTGGGAGCCCCGGCCCAGAGATAGGAGCAGTACTCCACGCGAGGCCGCACTTGTGCTTAATAAGCTTAATATATGAATATATGTATGAAGCTTGGCTTACATTCTGCACAATAAGGATTTCGTACATTAATGTCTAAAATTTGTGAAATGTCTCACAATAAAAATTATCATATACGTACATATCCGGCGCCATTTAAAGTTTTAAAATTTGGAAAAAATGTCATGACAAACAAAAACTCTTTAGCTATTTAAATGAGTTTACACACAATTGAAGTTTAATTAAAAACATCGAATAGTTGATGTTAATACCAAATAAAACGCACCTTTAATTACAAAGATAAATGTTAAGCGTGATGTCGCTTGAACCAAATAACCTTCACCCCTCGAATTTTGTTTATTTAATGATTTATTTCAATCTGCAATCTGTGAACTTTAACATTTCCATACGCTTTTTTTTTGTATTTATTTGTTAAACACGTGATAATCATGAGGACACGCGCAACCCACGCGAGGTGTTCGTGTTACGTAATCTGAACTTCAGCAGAACATTAATGACGAGAGTTCGCCATTCGAAAATCGCGCATCACTTTTGCATTTATTTTTATTTATTTCATTTACATCAGATTCTGCATCCATATTACACTCATTAACATTTCATTTATACTAGAATAAAAAAAAAATACTACAATCTCGGCCTAAAACAAAATCAATAATAATAATAATAATAAAAACAAAAAATCAAATAATAATAATAAAACAAAAATGTTGTACTTTATTTTTAAATTAGAACATTCAGAAACTATTCGTGTATTCGATTAGCCAGATCGATGAGGACGTTTTTGCCAGATTCGAACTCAGCATCATTCTCCAAAAAAAAACTTAAATTTTATTTCCAAGGAGACTATTACCGGGCAGCTACTAGGTGAAGCCCATTCACGCTCCACTATGCGAATCGTATGTAAAGTTTCACGTGCATTTAACACTAAACATACCGTAACCGGTCAAATGATTTTAGCGGTAGGCAGCGGCTTGGCTCTGCTCCTGGCATTGCTGAAGTCAATGGGCGACGGTAACCACTTACCATCAGGTGGGCCGTACGCTCGTCAGCCAACAAAGGCTATAAAAAAAATAAAAATAAAAATGACCCATTTTGAAGGTTTGCATTGAAAATTGCGATTCTCTCGGATCGTTTGGAGCCTCTGGGTCTGCGGAGGGACTTCGGTTCCCTCTGTATTTTATACCGTATGTTCCATGGGGAGTGCTCTGAGGAATTGTTCGAGATGATACCAGCATCTCGTTTTTACCATCGCACCGCCCGCCACTGGAGTAGAGTTCATCCATACTACCTGGAGCCGCTGCGGTCATCCACAGTGCGTTTCCAGAGATCTTTTTTGCCACGTACCATCCGGCTATGGAATGAGCTCCCCTCCACGGTGTTTCCCGAGCGCTATGACATGTCCTTCTTCAAACGAGGCTTGTGGAGAGTATTAAGCGGTAGGCAGCGGCTTGGCTCTGCCCCTTGCATTGCTGAAGTCCATGGGCGACGGTAACCACTCACCATCAGGTGGGCCGTATGCCCGTCTGCCTACAAAGGCAATAAAAAAAATAAAAAAATGCACGTTTCATCTTATTGCTTTTGCACATTTGACTTTAAGACTTTTTCTTACCAATTAATCTTACAGTTATTATACTATTTTTTGTTTGTTTTGTTTTATTTTTAGTAATACTAGTCGTATACCGTTATCTACTCGCTATGGTAGAAATAAGTACTAGTAAGTCTTGATATGATTAGTGTTAAAAAAAACGAAAAGAGAACGTTCTAGCAATCTAGTTGTCTTAACAAATAACAAAACAATGAGCTGCTGAATCGGTGGAGCCGTTCTCAAGTGATTCAAATTGATTTTTTATATTTATATAGGTATAAATATTTAAGACATCTGTGCTTCTAAAGCATTTAAAAATGGTTTGTCGTTAATGTGCGCCAAAAGTATATAAGACCATTCTTACGATAGAATTTGTTATCGTCTATACTCTTTTTTGGTCAATTTTGATAAAGAAAATTAAATAAATTATTGTGCAGTATTAATAGCGTTAATTTCAAATGCACTACTTTAGCAAAATGGAAATCTGGGATAATTAAAAAAAAAGGGTGCGTGTACTTATGTACGCGCGTAAGAAGTTATACTTTATTTTTATTTAATTTATTTCTTTTTTTTATTTAAATTTTAATCAATTTGAAAAAAAATCGATTAAACAACATCCTCAAACACGCATATTGGACATCCGTTTTCTTGACATCGTATAAATTCGGTAATTCTCGGTACGGTTTGGAAAGTTCATCTGCGGCTATATTCAGACTCGCCAAGTTACGTCGGTCGTATTGTAATGAGCGATTTAGTGGGCAACTTCATTCTGTTAATTTTGTGTCACGGTGCGCGCGCATCGTAAACTTTCACTCTCATCAATTTTTCATAACGCGCCTAAAGAAGTATAACTTCAAAAATCGCAAAAATGTCTCGACTTTTTCGTTGTTCTTTGAAGTTTAGGTAAATTAGTTCATCTACTTTCGATAACTGGTGGTCACGAGTGTTCAAGCAAGCAAATTCTTAGAGGATATTATCATAACTATAACGCCATGAACGCAGTTTGCGTGGAAACGGCTTGCTCATTATAGTGCGCTAATATTAAGACTAATATAATACAATATATTGTAATTTAGATGAAAATTATTACAACAATGATTTATAGTTTAAATTAACGGATGTGATACTTTTTGTGAAAGTAAATCAGATGACCCGTCAAACATTGACGATTTTACATACGAACCCATCTACTAATCGACTAGTTTATGGAACGAATAGTGACATAAATAATAATCCTTTATACCGAGAAGATACATGTTCGGATCCTTCAAAATTATAAATTTATTAAGGCGGGTGAATCCGCGGGCCACGTCTATTCCAAACATAAAACAGAGCGTGTTTATTCGGAAACGATGTGTTCGCAAATGTTTTATTCGACTAAGTTCTGACATACCAGTCTTTCCCAAAGTGGGTGATAACGCCCCCATGTCGGTGCTACAGGCCTAATGGGGTACGGTAAGAGACCCAGACAAAATTGGGGGCGTTGTGTAGAGACTTGGGAGGCGATTTGTAATTTCATCAAGTAGGACTCTTAGACGCCGACTAAGCTCTCGCTATAGTGGTTTTTAAGTAGGTGAAAAAATGGGGGCGCTCAAAAATAATTTATTCTCAAAATGGGCAGTAGACAAAATAAGTTTGGTAGCCCCTGTGACATACTATAGTTGTTGTTGGCACTACAAGAAATCTTATCATAATACTAGCAATAACGATAGGTGACTCGCGAACTTATATAAAATGGTCTTATTTCATTTATTTAGCGGTAGTCACAGCCGAGCTTGACCAGGTTGTATTGGTCTCTAATAAAAAAAATAGACAGGTAAAATGGTGGTATATATCCGAGCTGGCTTACAATACGCCTCAACCTCACAGTACAATAGAAAAACTTACCTTGATATTGCCGAGGAACGCGCTGCGTATTATACAGCCGCCGCGCCACATCAGAGCTATGCTACCATAATTCAAATTCCACTTGTTCACCTGAAAATATGGAAACGTTACATAACATTTTTACAGTGAAAGCTTCCCAACATGGATGGAACAATTCACTAACACCGTTATGATTTCAGAAATTTCGCTAGAGTAGCGACATAAAAAAGAGACAATCATATACATCTGTGAGAGCAAGAGAATGAGATAGAATACACCTGAAAATTTGGTTTCTACCGCGTATCAACTACAGATATCGAGGGGTGAAAGGTCATTTGGTTGAAACGACATTTCGCTTAATACACGACATTTTTTTTGACAATTAAAGGAGCCTTTTATTTGATCTTAGTTTAACTTCAATTAATTTTACTCAATTTAAATAGATCAAAGAGCATTTTTGTTATGATATTTTTTCTAAATTTTAAACTTTAAATGCCTCTTCTGAAAATTAGCAAAATATGGCCTATATATACCAAATAGCTTTTCACTACTCGATATGCTTTTTGTTTTTTGTAGATTTTATGGCCCGGTAACGAAACCTTTAAGCCAGCAGACATGCTTTTTTTTCGGTGTTCTTAATGCACCTATTGTTAATTGTTAATCAGACACATTCCGCCGGTCTCAGTGCGATTTCATGACACGCGAGGGAACTAAATGTGTTTCAAAACTTTAATTTACGTTTTTCATTGACATTCAACAGCGCCATATCGGATGTCGCGTCGTGTCGCGTCTTTGTGTCGTAAATAATACATAAAACAAAATTTACGACATGTTCACGGGGTAATATAGATTAAATCAAACAGTATTTTACTTATATATTATATTTTATTAACTTCATTACGGTGCGGTAAATTAATATTTACTTTAACTGTGAACAAATGAGGTAGTAAAATTTTATAGAACTATTATTGTCAATACGTTATCATTTAGAGTCGTTCAAGACTATTTCTTTTTTTTATTGCCTAGATGGATGGACGAGTTCACGCCCATCTGGTGTTAAGTGATTACTGAACCCCATAGACATCTATCACGTAAATGCGCCACCCACCCTGAGATATAAGTTCTAAGGTCTCAGTTTTAACAGTACAACGGCTGCCCCACCCTTCAAACCGAAACACATTACTGCTTCACGGCAGAAATAGGCGGGGTGGTGGTAATTACCCGTGCGGACTCACAAGACGTACTACCACCAGTACAAAGAAAATTGCCTACCCCTTAAGACATTTTTTATTTATTTATTTATACTTTATGCACAAAACAAAAGTTGTGCACATGCGAACTTAATGCCATGCATTCTTTTCCAGTCGACCATAGGGCGGTGCAGAGATAATGCATCGTAGGTGCATTAACAAAAGAATAACAAACAACAACAAAAAACAAAAAAAAACAAAATCAAAACAAAAATCTTCCTTAAAGTAACATCAGTCAGTATTATAGAATACACAACGTACCTTGGCGGCTTCACGTAGCAACATAAATCCTTGAGCATAAGAAATGAGTTTGCTAGCGTACAGAGCTCGCCGCAGGTCTTCCAGAAAGGCAACTTTATCGCCCGTGAACTTGTGACCGGATCCCGGAAGCACTTTGCTGGCTTCGAGGCGCTCATCTAAAAACGTCCGATTACACTTAATACGAAAATCTCTATATTAATATGTGAAGCAAAAACTTTGTACCCCTTTTTACGAAAATTGAGCGGACGGTGGATGTATGGAATTTTACACATTTATAGAGAATGTCGAGGAGTGCACAATGCTTTTTTTTTATTATGCGTAGAAAGTACATTAAATCAATAAAAAAAACATTACACACACTACCATGTATTTAACAAACACACGCATATTAAATACTCTTTTATTTATTGTTGAAGTCTGCGGTCAAATTCAGAATAGATTAATATTGTTTCTTTAATATTATTTGTGTGTTAGTGTAGTTTTGGCGAAATCTGTGATTACAGAAGTATGATAATCTTTGACAATAGAACTATAATAATTTTCAACTTAAAATTTCAATTTTAATTCAATTTTCAGTCGAATTTCGACTACTGCGAGACCAATAGTTATCTTAAACGTTTAACCCTTTGACTGCCATATAGATCACTGATTCTTTACGCGGCGCACTGAATTATGTTGATTTCTCTTTTCAATCTTGTTACTAAGGCGGCGAAATATTTATTGGACTCTGGGAAAGACGAATCCGAAGGTACGGAGAGTGAATCTATTTCTATGAAACCTAAAAGACTAAAACATAAATTAAAAACGATAGAAGGCAAAATAGTTACAAAAAATTATATGATTACTTCAGTGCGCCGCGTAGGGCACCGGTGACCTACACGGCAGTCAATGTGTTAATATTCTTATTCTGGTTGTGAAATTTCATCAGTCCCGTTGATTAACAATTTTTGGTTTTGTTTTTTATTGTCCTTGTAGGCAAACGAGCATACGGCACACCTGATGGTGAAAGCAATGCCAGGCGGAGAGCCAAGACGCTGCCTAACGTAGAACAAAGGCCGACTCGATAAACAACTGTGATGTCCGCTTGGTATGATAATGGTACGTTCCGAATAACAGTATTCTCTATGGTTTTCACAATTGGTATACATAATTAGTATTTCACGTACGATTTAATCTCGTCCAAACAGTCGTCCGTGACAACGGACACTAATACATTATTCTTCTTCTTCTTCTTAATTTTTTGGCTCCCGCACGGTTTGTGCATTAGCCAGCGTCAAGTAATAAGATTTTTATAATTCGTACAAGTAATACTATTTCTATAATTCAACGTTTTAATTATTTACAGTTTATGAATAATAGAAAATGAAGCAAACTTAATCAATTGGCATGAAATTAAATGAGATGATATGGGATGAAATATAATCTCAGTAAAATCATTTACTGAGACTTTTTCAGTGGACTTATTGGAGGATACCGAGAAGTTAGGTTCAGCAGCACTTTGACAGATACTAAACAGTTAAAAAACCACCGTTATTACACATTTAAGCATGAAGAAACACTAAATAGACAAAATAAAACAAATCACACAACTTCACTCATCGCGTTCCCATCAAAAAGTCTACTAATACATTCAAAACGTCCAAACGAATATATTGACCTTTAAATTATAATAACAGTCGTAGGTAATTATTTCGTAAAGTGAATTCAATTTGTATTGAATTATTTTCACATATACCTTGTTAGTAATGGGAAACGTTAACAAAATTTTCCTTTTTATTGCTTAGATGGGTGGACGTGCTCACGGTCCAACTAGTGTTAAGACATTTACAACATAAACGCCGCCACCTACCTTGAGATATGAGTTCTTTAGTCTCAGTTTTTACAATACAGTACAGTACAGTTTTAAAATACAGTGTATTCGTTTGGATACCTTTCAGAGCCGAGAGACAACGTGAGAAAACGGCTTCACCGATTAGCGTCACAGGTACTCCGTATTCCAGGGCGCTGATGCCCGTCCATTTTCCGGTACCCTTCTGTCCGGCCGTATCTCGAATTTTGGGTAGCAAATATTTACCTATACAGAAAAAAAAAATTATTAAAAAAAAATATAAAAAAAAAACTTACAACCACTTTTCTATTTCTTTATCATTTCAAACGTGTTCTCATTGTATTATGTCGTCGGTCAAATTATTATAGATTTATCGTGTCATAGTTATCGCATGCCTGTTACATGCAACATAAAAAGTTTATCTCGTTTACGTGAATCTTTTGGCACCAACATCAAAATAATAAAACGATAAAGATAACATTGAAAATAAAATGATCTCTTCGTTAGATTACATTAAAAATAATAATACTTAAATTGTCACAATAAGCAAGAAAAGTTTGGAATCCTTAATTTCTAAGAATCCTTAATTTCTATACTTTTTTTTAATTGTATTTAACACTTACCGTCTGAGTCTTTGTATTTCAAAATATCCCTTGTGATTTCGATCAAGAATGAATCTAGTTCGCCTTTGTTCCACTCGTCGAATACTTTAGCCATTTCATCTTGTTCAATACCTTTTTGTGGAAAATATAACTCATATTATTTATAATAATAATAATACATAAATAAATCATATTATAGTCATATCACAATCGTGTACATGTTTTGTATTTTTTTTATTGCTTAGATGGGTGGACGAGCTCACAGCCCACCTGGTGATAAGTGGTTACTGGAGCCCATAGACATCTACAACGTAGACGCGCCACCCACCTTGAGATACAAGTTCTAAAGTCTCAGTATAGTTACAACGGCTGGCCCACCCTTCAAACCGAAACGCATTACTGCTTCACGGCAGAAATAAGCAGGGCGGTGGTACCTACCCGCGCGGACTCACAAGTGGTCCTACCACCAGTAATGTAACATGTAACTAAAAGCTGTGGACATCGCGTACATACATGTAAATTAAAGCTGTGGTTATTCAACTGGTAATGGAACTGATTGTGATAATTCATTTTTTTGTAATAAATTCTACTCAGCCTTAAAAACGAACGACTTTATTATTATAAAAGATGTATATTAAATTAGGGTAGTTTAATTATAATTTTCTTACCTATCACATCTTTCATAAGATGATAAGCTTCGCAGATAAGTTGCATATCACCATATTCAATTCCATTGTGCACCATTTTGACAAAATGGCCTGCTCCATCTTCACCGACCCAGTCACAGCACGGTTCATCATTAGCTTTAGCGCATATGGCCTAAAGAACACAATATATTTTGATTACTAAACCTAACCAATACTAATATGCTTCATAGAGTGAAAAAGATGATTTGAAAATATATTAAAAGAAAAAAAAACAATAATTTGATAACAAATTCCTAAAACAGTATAGATGCACAAAAATGTTTTAAAATACTGTTAGTGTGCAATTTAGGCAACATTTTGACTAGCAAGAAATTTTAAGGATACACTATATTTGAATATAAGTGATTATTAATATTATGTTATAATATAAGTGATAATTATTGATATATTTATTATTCCATAAAAAAAGCTAACCTTGAATACAATAAAAGAGAAAAATGTAAATAATGTACAAGTAGTTGTAAATGTTGTAAATGTTCAACAGAATAATATTTTGTATAATGACGTCTACGTTTGAGAGTACGATATAATATTTACTTCCCTATTATCCATCACAGTAGTATCGTTGCCTTATTTTCCGGTTTACTCTATTTTTACAACCCTAATTTTATTGTTCCGTACGATATTTGAAATTTAAACCCAAAGTATGGGGATGAGGATTGGTGTTCGCGATATAATAATGTATGCGCAGCATTATTAACGTAAAGCCAGTTAATAGAAATCGTCTTTCTTTTCGATCGGTTGTTAATGGTTAAAACAACAACTGCGACTGAAAAATTTAAAGTACTGTCATGGTGATATTAGATCTAACCCTTTAGTTACGAGCCTCAGCCATAGACGGCGTCCGCACGACGACCTTCGTATACGAGCAACCTTTTCCTTGAGAGAACGAATCCGTCGACGGAACTCAGAATTCGCCCCCATCACCCTCATACACGGATTAGTGAATTATTACATTGAGTATTTGCCTTGTTTTAGTCATACCGAAAGACATGGGCATCATACCTCGTCGAAATGTTCATTAATTAGGAGAGAGCCTGATTGCATACTATAATGTAAGCTGATAACTATTTATGACATACTCACTTGGAAAATTTCTTTTATATGTGGCCATGCAGCAGGATGCCCACCAGGCATCAAAGATGGTCCATATCGTGCACCATCTTCACCTCCACTTACCTGGTTCAAAAGATTTATTTTAACTCTTAACTAAACTACACTAACTCAGATTATAAACTGAGCAAAATAATTTTATTGGTTAATTATACTTACACCCATTCCAACATAAAGTATTCCTGTCCCTGACAAATCTTTACACCATTTCTGTGTGTCTAAGTATTGTGAATTACCACCATCAATTATAATATCACCTTTGCTTAAAAGTGGTATTAGCTTTTTCACAAACTCGTCAACAGCAAATCCAGCTGAAATATTTATTAATTTTGTTCCAATTGCATTCTTTAAATATTACAACTGTAGAAAGCTAGTAAAAATAATTTAAAAGGAATTTATAATATACACAATCAAACATTAAGCACAAGAGTTATACAGTCCTTAATGGTTGTCATGAGTCAGTTTCAGTATATCCCAAACTAAGCTAAAAAAACTTGTATTTTAAATATCAGAGTACAGTTTGAAAGTTCATTGTAATAGCCATCTGTGATACAAGTATGTGTGTATTTATATGAAAATGTTTTGGGTCCATTGCATTTTGTTAATCCTGATTTTTGTTGTTTTTGGTGTGAGAGTGTAAGTGTTTCATAATGAAAAGGTGACACCTGAATGAGTCATCTTTATTGACCTTTTTATTTACATTACTCTCATTACAAAACCATACAAAAATACATGATAACTGAGACAGGAATATTTTTTTCAGCTTCAGTTATTATTCTGTAAACTGATATGAATAAATAATATACTAATAGAAAAATAAAACCCTGTGTAAGTCACGTCAGAACACAAGTCAGATGTTGGAGTATAATGAACATTACAGTATCAGTTTTTAATTCTTACACACATTAACAAAATTTTCTATATCCTAGAATTATAAAGTTATTCGATGTCTATGCTTTTCATATACATACCATAGTTCTAAGTTAACTAAAACATAATTTGTGTAGAATGATTAAAAGCTCTTAATTCCAAAAGTATTAAATTCTTGACTTATTTATTTGAAGTTATTATTTCAATGTTATTAATTCAATTATTTCATTATAAATATATATAATTAGGGCTTTATTTAGTCTTGCACTTGTTATATATTTTCTAGAAAACACTGTATAGTATACCTTTTACCAAAAGAACAATTTTCCTTGGCCTTTTTAGTTTAGATACCATGTCATCCAAGGAGGTAGCCCCAATCACTTTTGTACCCTTAGCTTCATTTTTTAGAAATTCCTCTACCTATAAGCAAGTATGTAAAAATATTTTAAAATATATAAGCATTGCAGTTTACATTAAAAAAATGTTACTTTAATTAAGTAAAATACCATTGGTATAATACCTTTATAAAGAAATTACCTTTGACACTGTTCTATTAAACGCGCAGACAACATAACCCTTGTCATTCATATTGAGTATTAGATTTTGACCCATAACAGCCAAACCTATGAGTGCAATATCAGCTTCATTCCTGAGCAAAAATTACATTGTATCAATATAACACGATTTTTTTTCTTGAAAGGAGGTACTTATTACAAGGTTAAGCGTATCAAATTTTAACCTTTAAATAACCTTGTAACAATCTTGTCAACATTTAAACTCATTGCATTAGTAAATAACCTGAACAAGGCGTTTGGATTGTAAAGCAATTTAACTATCAGTCATTGTGCTGCATTTATCATAAAATCTACTACCATGATTACAAATATTTCTTTCAACAATTCAACAATGTTTTTTACAGTTATGTTTTAACCTTAATAATGTAACTCAAACTAGCAAAGTCATGCTTTTCTATCTTTACTTCTATATGTTGCGGGTATTTTTAGATGTTAAACTTACTGAGGCATTTTTTTAAGTTAGATTTTAAAAGTTTATCGAACTATTTTAAACAATTTGAATTATTTTTATGTAAAACTGTGAACGTTTTCAACCAACTCTTCTACCTTCTACCTACAGACTAGTACAGATTTTTTTTTTTTTTTTGGAGTTTATGGCCTGGTATCTAGACCTTTAGGCCAATAAGTACAGACTGATGTATAGATAATAGATTAAACACTTAATTTAAGACTGATGTATTACATATTCTGAATTGATAGCTGCTATATTAGGTGATATGGGGTAGGGATGAAGGTACGAGAACGATTAAAAAAAAAAAAACAATAAATGTGTCAAGCGAGATCGATTATTAAATCAATTTTAACAAAAGACTGAAAAAGCGAATCATTTTAAAAAAAGTATGCTTTTATACATTATTTAAAATTAACTTCATTACATGATATCGATACTGCCAAACCAGTTTTGCTAAGAGACAGCGGAGTTGAGGGGGCCCACACGTGAAGGATCGCGTCCACTGTTCCTTCCTATAAGCCATACTGCTCCGCCGATGATAAATCAAGTCTCATGAATCTAGCCGGCCTTCAAATCAATGGAACCGTCTCAAGATTAAGAGCCCAAGAACTAAAACCGGCCAAGAACTGCATCCGGACCAGTGGCCGCGTTCTGTGCGCAAATTTTTGTCTGGGCCATACGGAAGTGTGCCACGTTATGAATGCTGATATGCTCAACTCAGCAGAGGTATCACCGTTGTCCCCCATTACAGAGAGCAACGAAATCTTCCCGATCTTGTGGGAACAGTGCTGACACCATGTCAACTTTGTCAGATCATTACAAATTGGGAAGCAATGGCGGTGATGCCTGCCGCACTGCTCCTTATCTGCAGACGCCTTACTCTGGGCAACATGGGTTCAGCCAGAAAAGTACAGAAAGCTAATAGCTGTAGTTGTGGTATCGAATTAATAATTCTATGGGAAAGCCTTTTATGAAATAAATACTTGGTGTCGTAAGCTGTATTCTTATTAAATTCCATTTGGAGAATTCATATTGGTAGTTTTCCAATTACAGCACAAGAGCGCATTATGCGGCATAATGCTCAAATAAGCTTCAGCATAATTCGGCATTGTGCGTCACTGAGTCGCATTATGATGAAGCTTGATTGAGCATTATGCCGCATAATGCGCTCTTGTGCTGTAATTGGAAAACTACCATTAAGGTTCACAAAATTCCACTGTGTTACGTTGTAATCTGTGTAAAACTACCTTCAAACTTTTTCAAAGTTTCTACGAAGGTAATCTACGGCATAGATACCATAGATTATACACATAATATTTGAGAATTTTGAGATATACACATTACAGTTCTGCAGGCATTGCCTTGTTATTACGAGGTCTTTTCTTTACCCACAATTTGTCGGTTATAAAAATAAATTGATCATAAGTGAGGAATAATTAAAATAAAATTACTCGGAATGCTATAATTTTTTGTGGCTGACTTGGCCGTTTTAGTCTTAGAGTTTCTAAATCAAACTTATGACATCGGCAAAAGTAGCAACGCAGGTATGCTGTATTTCTAACGCAAAGTAGAAGCAGATTTGTATCTACTAAAAGTACCTAATTTTGGTGTATTCATTGTAATTTTGTCAAGCGTAATGGTATTTTGCGTGGTATTTTAGCTCATGAATAACAACAACGCACAAAATGGCCGCCAGCAGCCCATATCGCGACTAACAGCGCCCCCAACGGACCCTCGAATGAAGATAACCGCGTCATCATCGGAACAAAAAAAGAAACCGAAAGAACTTTGTCGCAACTTCCTCTGGGGAACATGCACTAAAGGAACTGAGTGTATTCACCTTCACAAACTAGACCTAAAAGTTTTGAAAGAAACCGTAAAGTTTTGCCGCGATTTTCAAAACAAAGTTACTTGCAGTAGACCTGGTTGTACATTTCTCCATGTTTCTGATGAGGAGCAAAAGCTATTTGAAAAAGAAGGCAAAATACCTCGTTTGCTAGCTGAAAGATACGCAGCTCTAAAAGATTCACCTACAGCAAAAATGGTGGTGGAGAAATCTCAAAAAACAGGTTCTATGTTTAACGTTGGAGATTATTTAACAAAACCACCGCCACCGCCACCACCCGTAGCATCAGTGGCAGGGCCCTCAATACCAGTATCGCATCCATCTTGTTCTTCTCTGCAGTCAATGCTGGCATTACCACCACCACCACCACCTCCTCTTCCTCCACTACCGAAGGCTCCACTCCCTCAGCCAACAAAGGCGGTAACAATAACAACAACATCCACAACAGCAGTGGCTTCCACATCAACCCAAAAGTTGACACCAGCAAAACCAGGTATTTTCTTTATTTATAACTATTTGTGATGCCTTCTTTTAATCAATTTGCATTTGTATTGTAAAACATTTAGATAAACGGATATATTTTTTTGAAACAGTTGACTTGAAATTTTTATTTTTCAAGCTTACAGAAATTACTTTGGCACATGATGTTGATGTCCCAACTGTATTTTATATATGTATATAGTAGCTGTACCATCCTTTAAACGAAAATATAATAATATGACTACCACACTATGCCACTACCTTCACTTGTTAATAACTAGTCTACAATAAAATAACCAATAGATATAATTTAAGTTTTATTTTTTCAGTTCCAAATACTACAGTGAGTACAACAGGCCTACATATACTAAATCAGCCTCCTCCACCAGGGTAAGTTATTAACAAATAACAATTAATTAATTTATTATACCAATAAATTATGAAAAACTTTTTTTTCCACAGCTTTGATGCAAGTAAACCTCCACCACCATTACCTCAGATGAATGGTGCTATAAAACGGCCTGCATTCGATTCTTGCAAAGGTAATGAAAGTTATTTATTTAATTTTAAAATGCTAAGCGATATGAACTAATTAAAAGCAAATTCGCTTGATGCGAAAAGCATTTTGCTACTGTTATTTTAAGTTAATTTGAATAAAATAATTGGTTGGTGTTGCTTATTGAAAAAAACTTAGAAAACAGTAGAGGCTACCTCTTGTTCATAGACATCAATATGTGGTTGCAGTGGACCCTCGAATCAAAGAGAATTGTGATAAACATAAAATGTTATGTTATGATAAGGATCAATAGAAATGTGCTTAAAAATTAAAAGATCTCTAATTTATACATTTATTATTAATAACTAAAAAAATATATATATAAAGCATCAAGCGCTATGTAACAAGCTATTTGTTATTTTAACCTTATGTCTCGAGCTGTGCAATCGCAATCACATAATGTAAGGTACAAATAGTTACATTATGTGGTCTGACTGTCTGCCCACTGCAATAAAAGCTAAACACTACTGCACAATTGTGTTGCTCCAATGTGTTTTGTATAAAACATTGATCTACAACACCAACCGCAATTAAATGCATGTAAAAATAGTTATGTTATTATTATTTTAACTATGCGATTTTATTTATATGCAATTTTTTCAATGAAAGCAATATTATAAATTAATCACAGCCCAGTTAAATTGCTATATCTAAAAAGGCTGTGCTATCATAATATATTTTCACAATATTATTCATATTTTTATGTTGTTCTCTCAATATTTTAAAACCTATAAAAAATTATGATCTTATCAACTGTACTTGTGTTATGATTTGCTTGGCGCTCATTGATTTGTTCTCAGCTGGACAAAGAAAGATGGCAAAACTGGATGACGCGAATTCTTTAGAAAGCGACTGCAATAACTGTGTGCAGAGGGAACTCAGGTTTGATATGAAATATTCGTCTTTATTTGTACGCATGAAATTATTACAGGTAAAATGCAAACATATATAGTTAATATTAATAGCAAGGCGATTTTTAATTTTAAAAAAATCGTTTTATATTTTCCTTCATACAACTTGTACATAATGTTTACATTGTAATATATGAAATCTAATGCAAAGAAATACTATTTTAGAGATAAATAGAAATGAATATATGAAATCAAGCCAGTCATAATAATTTTCAATTTGTCACAGCATTACCATTTATTTTTTTGTATCTAAAAAAATTGCTTACATACTATAATACAAGATGTGAAATTTTGATGTACTTGAAAGATTTACTTCTACACTATTAAAATCTAACAAAAAACGCGAAAATTACTGTGAAATTTGTATTATTTGTGCTTATATTTTTAGAATTAAATTTTTTATTACATTGCGTCTGAGTGCAGAAGCATAATACATGAAGTGTTGCAATAATAAATGTAATTATAGCGAAGAAATTAAAATACTGTACCCATTAAAATTTTATTTAATAAAGTATGTATTATGTTGGCTTTCGCTTTTGTATTCCTTAATTGCTGATGATTAAACTTTAAATAAATTTACACAGGATTGAACTTTACAAACAAGAAATGAAAGACCTTGAAAAAGAACAAGAAAACAAGTCAAAGATGCTGAAGATGAAGATGGTGGAGCATGAGCGTGCAGTTGCAGTGCTGAAAGCAAACATTGACCCTGAATTTTATCAATGGTTCGATGATTACATTGAGGTAATTTCAAATTACTTAAAAGTTTTCTTTATTATTTTTTAACACTTTCGCTGACAGTACGTCGTTAGACGGGAAATTAACATATTGCGGTATAACAGTACGTCGAAGGACGGGGTACTAACTTTTATGAGCATTGGCAGTACGTCGTCGGACGACAACTTCTAATAGAAGCAATATGAAGAATAGCATTCACTGTCATATTGTAAGCAATCTCACATTTCTTACTGTCGTAACATGATTGTTTTGTGGGTAGTTTAATATTGCTGTCTCAGTTGTTCACGCACACACGTAAATAGTTCGCATATAAGTACTACGTCCACCGGCGTGAGCGCACGCTAATTTCTCGATCAATCAGTGCGGCCACTGCCATTTTGTGAACAACCACGTGTTTACGTCACTCAAACAGTAAGTAAATTTTGCAAAAATGATATTTTGTGTGTTTATTTGTATTGAAACATCGTT